GATTGTTATAGGAACGTTGGTTTGATCAAAAAGTAAGGAGGAGTCTAGTTTAAAGAAATGAATGACATTAGTCAACCTTGAACAATCGCCCATTGTTCTTATGAAACGATGAAACTCGAAGCAGAAACGTACGGGTACGAGTAATAAATTTTCGGTTCCCTATCAATTTGTGGATGTAGTACAACATCACTGAGCTTTAACGTAACATTCAGCAGGCAGAGTCATAAATGTCGAGCAGTTCATCGAACCTCTTCAAGTTCAAGGACCAACGACACGAGATAACTAATTGCATGCCATGGATGAGGGTTTGTGGCGTTAGATTTTCCTTTTACTCCTGCTAATTGTCAATATTAAGGTGTGCTGTTTCCTATTGACGCCATTCATTCTACCATCTGGTTATGACAGCAGAATAATTTTGGTTAAGTATTAATCGCAAGGTGCGACTTAGGAGTAGGGAAAGAGGCTACATCGTTTCAGTCTAACTCAAGTAGGCCCTCAATTATTGACACCTACGTTTGGTCTCACAGAACGTAATGATAATCTGGAGGTAATGTACATGAAGATTAAAGGGTGAGTATGAAACCAAAAGATCAGGGTCAACGTTTTAAATGGGCCATGTTAAAAATCAGTTACCGATTTGTGGTGACATTTATGTCTACAACCGACCTGGTTGGCTAAACATTTCATACCGGTTGAATAAGCTTGTAGTAGGTGGTTGCTTAAATGCATACAAAACATGTCTCTTAGGATTATTTCTCAAGCTTTGATGATAACGACAAAAGCTACAGCGTCAGAAAAAAATAAAGAACGTATATTCATTGTTTGCTCCATCTCCAAATGATAGATTCAAGAGGCTCCCTCGTGTATACTAAGCAGAAGCTCTTGGTGACGATTTAAAAATCATCTTGTTGTCACATATGCCTCACAATAATCCAAAAAGAGAAGGAATTGAATTTCTATTTGAAGTGTTGGATACACCACAATATGCCGGACATTTTGTGAAACTTACTGTGATATAAATTGTTGAAGTCTTGCTGTAGTTGACGAAACGTTAATGGGCTAAGAAGACTATTACTACTCTGACATGCTGTACTGAAATCAACCAGAATAGTTTAAAGAAAGCCATTGTATAAATAGAAATATCGCGAGTTAGTTTGGACACAATAGTGATTTGTGACGATAGATAAATATAGGCCCGTAATTCTTGATTAATTCTTACGATCAAAGTCACAAGATTGCTGCCAGTGCTGTATGATTAATATCTGAGTCGGTGCTAGTGCACTTATCTCTTCAACCACAATGATACATCTAATATAATGTTGTGGACCGACCATGATGTGACTACTTAATCTACCAGACTACATGAAAATTACATAATTGTTTATAGTGACTCCTATTAACGTGGTAGTCACCGGTCGCAACAAGCAAATTCCGCAGAACACAATAAGAACAAGAAAAAGATATTATCTTACCTATCTTAGGATTTCTATGTATAGGGTTCAATTTGAACTCTTGTTTGATTTAGTAAATAGGTTCTGGCGCCAGGGCTGACCTTACAAGAATCAGTTGTTTTTATACGGCTTTTTCTCTGTAAACTGTTTGTTGAATTCTTGATTTTTAGCTAGCAAAATTTGCTTCTTGAGGGTTATAATACATAATAACATATTTTCGAAGTTTAAATCACTCTTGACGGGCTGTATTGATGTGTGACGACATAACTTCTAAAATTCCTTTCCCCCAAGTGAGGACCTAACTGGTTTTACAATTGTCTTTCCTAATGATTATTATTTACTTACGCAAACTCTTATCAATAAACCGAGTGACTAACTTAAGCTTGTCAAATCGTAGATATATGTAAAACGGGTATCGCAGAGGACAACACGGGGCTACAAGTCACTTGAGCTTGTCGACTCCAAATTTCTCGATTTCTCACGAATATATATATATATATGTATATATAAGTATACGTACGTTTACAAATAAGTGTTTGCTTCAGGTCCTGCTCTGTTTATGTCTGGCAATAAATGTTGATCTCCTTGTCAAACAACTTATCATAATTAAAGCTCCAGTGAGACTATAATTTATGAATGACCTGTGAGCGATGTTAAACTGACGTTGAGTGTCCACTTAACCGGGATCAAATGAGGGTTATAAACCTGTGAGACGAATTGTAATTTATAGTTAATGAATAATGTTTGGAAATAGATTTCGGGTTTCCATCACAAACTAACATAAGCTGTAATCCCAAATGGAAGGGTGAATTTTGAGCCGAAATCCGAGACCTGTTATGTTATATGTGATTGTTTTGTCCATAAAATAGTCTCGCCAAATCTTATATTTCAGCAAAATACAAAACTACGCGTAATTGTAATCCTCTCACCAATTAGTATTCAAGTTAGTTGCATTACCACATAACTTATATGACCCTTGGTTTGTTTTCTTTTAGTACTTACCTGCACATTTGACCAAGACTATCTAATTAGTGGTCTTAAACAGTAATAAACGTCTTAAAACCTTTGTCCACAAAAGCCTTACCTAGCCACTCAGTTTGACGCTTTTAAGAGAATGAGTAATTTTTAAGTCGTGTTACAAATGGAATCGGAAATTTCTCAATACTTATTCTTGGAATTATTAATAGATCGGGAAGCCCCATGGAGTCCACATTCCTCCTAAAATAAGGGCGAAATTACCAAGTTTTAGTATTTTTTAAAAATCGTCTTACCCAAATTTCTAGATTCGCCTACCAATGACGCGTCATTAACTTTTCAGCAACGTTCACCCCAGTTAGCGTCCTTAAATCCAACTATATGTAGGACTGATTATCTAATTACTCACACAGTGTAATATTTTGTGGTATCAATACATAATGTAAGCTAATGAATATGTGATGTACCTGCTTATTGTACAACCTTATGATGTTTGTCACTATTCGTAACGTTTCAGCTGAAGTTGTATGTTATAGTTTAGTGGTCCATTTAGACCCAAAATAGTTTGATGTCGGGGTGTTTTGCAAATCAAGGTTTCCAATCCTAGTTCACTTCCAATTTATTTATTTATTTGAAGACAAATATTGGTAAAAAGGGGCACCGAATAGATGTGCGTCACACAAGTCTCTTGATTGTGTTTGGGCTGTGCTAGGGCCCGGGTGCCTAAACCGAAACAGGTGGTTTCCATAGGAGGCCACACCCGGAGCCTTCTACTTGAAGGTCTGATCCACAAGGCAGTGGAGCATCGTAAGGAGATGCAGTCCCATGGTAGCCAATGACCACCAATTGGTTCATACGCCATTTGTTCCTTCAGCATACTGAAGTCAATGTGCACCATTGGTTTGGAATGAGGGTTTTCCAACTCTCCGTGTCCACCAACCCGGTTAAAGTGCCAGACATTCGCTTTCCGTCCTCTCAATTTCGTAAACAACACCCGTAGTGCGAGAAGGCAGTGAGTAGGACTTCCCTGGCAGAGGCTATATATGGGTGGCCATGTGAGAGCATTTCGCGAGGGAGAGCGGACTCTCCCCACTCTCGACCGTACCAGGGCATTTGGGGGCCAGTGCACTTCAAAACAAATTCATCACAATTCGAATTGATGAAGTACTATGAGTCGTTTTTCAAGTATACTTGTGCTCAGTAGACTGGTTGTGTGGGCAGAAATTTCTAGTAAGTTTAGCAAGATTATAATTTAGGGATTTAGTCATTAGAATTTCAACCATTGGATCATAAGCAACTGTTAGAATTACTTTATGGTTTTGAATGCATTGGTCACGCACCATACTCTTTAAATAACATCTCCAAACCCTAATCTTCCCGATTACTGCTTATAATCTTTCTACCTCTACCACTACGGGATTTGAGTCGACAACTGCATCTCTGTGCTAAGGTGGTGTGGCAACTCGAACTGATGTACGTACGTACGAAGTTCTACGTTGTTACTGACTGACTGAATAACTTAAACGATTAGTACATGTCAGCAATCCTATTTATCGACTTTAGGATTTCGTTTATTCTTTACAAAGTTGTGCTATAAAATCATCTTTTAGAGTGATATACTCAAATTGATCAAGATCATGCCTTGTACACCAATAATTCATTGCAGTGATGCACGGTTATTTGTTTTTATTGTTGGAAACTTGTTATGAGTTTGTTGGATAGTTCCATTCTTTGGACCACGTTAGTAGCATTTTGGACTCAGTCAGAGATGTGCAGTACTACCCAGTTGTTATCCTAAAAGATTTCCTAGTATTTATATAATAACTTACGTGTTACATCACATTAAACTAGTGAATTTTGTTTTTCGTTTATATATATTGTTGACATGTAGCAGTCGTACATACCGATGAAGTTACGTGGTTCATTATGAGGAGAGTCGAGTGATATGGATTTCCGGATGATGTTTCCCAAAACTTGCATAGTAATTAGTGTCATGTTCTAGTCAAATTCTCGCTCTGCATAAGAGCGGTCGAATCTAGAAAACGCACTGCGATATCTGTCGTCAAAACATCTAGTTTTAGGCTCATAGACTTCGGTATTAACTGCTAGTAACTTGACGAACTGCTGATAAGAAAACAAATGTTTTACAACTTGCCACGACTCAACTACGTAGTTTCAGTGGAGTTCGTATTCTAACAATAATGGGTGTAGCTGCCGGGCTAAACAAGTCTTCTGTTATAGCAACATACCCCACTTTTCTGGCAATATTTTAGATTAATTACCAGTGGAGCAGTGCGCGTAGTAATTGAGGTGTTTGACTTTCACTAAGTCCTATGTTCGGATGCTGCCTGATCTACCTCGGACTGGACAACCGAGTAGTATCATTAAGCATTTAGCTTAGTGTGACTCGTATACAGGTACCTGGAAAATAAGTTGGTTTTTGAAAAAAAATAGTTACTGAATAAGTGGAAATGTTTTCCTTTCATTTTTAGATATTTACTTTTCACTAAATGTGTTTGAGTATATCTGGCTCTGTCATTCACTTATAATCTTACCAATGCTAGTGATTTCAACATGGAAGACTTCTCTTTGTCACTAAAAAGTGATATTGTTCATTCTTGTACTATGGAAAAATCAGATAATCAATCGGCAAAATGTCCTGATATTTTGTCCAGTCACGGTTCTAAAACAAATTCAGCTACAAGTCAAAATAATAATAACGATGCTTGTCGGACTGATAATGTAACAACTGAAGAACGACCAGTTGAAACAATCACTGAAGATTTGGAACCTGCTTTACGACGCAGTAAACGTGGTAAAGGCAGACCTAGCAACACTCATAATGCAAACAACAATAATAATAATGATGGAACTTCAGACGATCATGTCCCTTCATGCATTATTTCGGGTACTGAATATCACACAGGTTTGTTATTTGTCTAGGTCCCTATTTTCTGTAATGTTATTTTAAGTGTGATATAGTTTTTGAATGTATTACCTTTATCATTTCGGGCACTTGGCTTTTTTGTTTGTTTTCTATCAGTTGCTAGAATTATTTTTAATAATTATATCTAACAAATTAATTCTCTTGTAAACAGTTTGTTTGTTAAACTTTCATTCGACTTATGAATAACGTCGTCAGCACATCAATGAGAAGCTTCTTAATCAAACTGTCTGGCTTAGAAATCACAACACTAGCATAACTCGAAATTATTTAGATTTCACATAACTGCCACTTTATTATTGACTGTGTAAAAATATGAATATTTAATTTTAACTTGAAACACCAATGGAGATTACAGGAAAATTCTCCTTTAATTTCAAACATATGTCAATGAAATTCTTTTTTTTGCTATTGTTAATCGCTTAGCATGTAATGAGTACTTTTTTAAAGTTCACTTTAGAAAGATATATTTAACAGATTAGAAATTGTAATAGTAATTTCTTAAAACTGAAATTTCATTTCCATCATCTTTTTTCTTTGCTGCTAAGACCATTATCCATGCTTATATCTAACGAATTTGTAATTTTCATGTTATTCCAATTCATATATTATCTCAGTCAGCCAGGCACATATATGCATCAGTTCAAGTTGCCACACCTTATTAACACAACAAGATGTACACCAAATACATAAAAGTACTTACTTTAGTGGTAATAATATGTAGAAGAAAGATTTTTTATGAGGATATGATACGGAGAGAAATAATTGATTTATAGAAAGACAGATATAAAGTAATTTTGGTCTCAAGGTTTAAGGGAAGACAAAGAGTATATACACCTACGTCATTGTGATCGATTCTGAACCATGTCACCAAGAGTCTCCAACCATTAGTTACGATAGTCACGCGGACCCCAACCAAGTAATCTGCATCTACCAACATGGCTCAGACCACGAGTTAGTGACTTTGTGGACTGATACCACGTTTTGGTTTGGCCACCCTTAACCTTCTTCCAGCCGCCTCCAACACTAAACAGCAATACGCGCCATGGTAATCGGTGTCCAGGCATGTGTAACACGTGGTCCAATCATCCCAGTCGATGAAGATTTACAATCTGATTTACCATCATCATTCCTTAGTACCCTACGTCTAACCTTACCATTACTTACCCGGTGATTCCAGCAGATGTGATCAATATTTCTAAGACATCTGTGAAAAAGTGCTAGTAACTTACGAGTATCCTCTACCCTTAACGGTCATGTTTCCCAGCCGTCAAGTAGAACAGAACGAACTGCCGCGCAGTATGCTCATCCCTTAATTGATAGACAGATATCTCGCCTTCGTCATAGGTGACGTAAGTTGGCAAGAGCCAAACGAGTTTTTCGTATCCATGCTGAGATTTCGTCAGACACCAACCCATTAGGGCTGATCAGACTTCCAAGGTAAGTGAAGTTGTTGATGCATTCGACTACTTCACTCCCTATCCTTAGTTCAGGTGTTATACGATATCTGTAATCCAATTATATATTTAAATTATTTACCTTATGTTAGTTTAGTGTAATCTTGATACTGAATACAAAATTAAATGTACAATTCAATTCTATCATTAGGTTAATTATTGAGTTTGAATTGACTTAGAACCTAGAACGTGTGAATATAATTATCATTTTTGGGGATTATACATCATATGTGTAAGAATTTATGAGTTCATTAGACTACTATCAGATGAGATTTTATTCCACAGTTTATATATCGATCACTAATTGACAACACTTTCGCACAATAATTGGTCAGAATTAATGTTGTTCGGTTGTAAATATGATCGAGGTATGAAACAAAATCCCATCTATCAACTGGTATCAAATATTTGATACTAGTTTTTTTTGTAATCAACAGTGAATTAACACATCTTGATTAACTGAAGTGGTTGAGACATGTATTGCACCTGCTTAATCCATCACCTACCTTATCTGGTGACATTAACCAGTGTAAGAGTAAATTGAACGAAAGCAATGAGTGACCAGATCAAAACATGTCATCGGTTCACGAAATCATTAACTATTGGTCTAAACCATGTTAGCTGATGCAAACTATGTGGTCGAAGTTTGCACGATCATTAGTTGGAGACGTTAGGTGACATGGCTCATAGCTATTCACAATTGCACAAATACATTCGCTCATTATCTTCCCCTTCTTAATCTCACTTCATCGTGCTCCTGTGGTATGGAAACATGTGCTAATGCACATTTGTTCCAGTTTCTACTCTGATTATAACTAACTGACAATCTATTTAGAATAATTGATTTCAACAACCTGAAGTAAGCTAATGTAACATAATTCATCAATCGACATTATACAATGTTGGTAAATTCACTTACATTTATTTGAATGGAAAGTAATGTGAAATGATTGGTTATTTGAAATTATGGATGAGTGAACAATTAATTACGAAAAATTGATGTGTTGTAGTAGCAAAAAGAAACTGAGAGCTATTGATGACGTATAAACAGTAATGTTGCTTGTTAATTAATTCTAATTGTAAAAAGACTACTACTATTACTTAAGGAATATGAAAATTAAGTTGATTTAATAATCTCAACGTTTCTATCGTTTGACATTTTATTAGAACTGTGTTGTTTGCGTTGTTTAGGAATGTTTTTTGTTTTTGTGAAGTTCACCTCAAAAGTTAACATTTTTAATGTAGAGTAATGGTCAACAGTTGCTTTTAATGCATTTTTAGGGTGAGTTTTTTTAACTGACTTCTTCTGAACGACTCTAGACAATTTTCAAGGTAACGTCTTTTTAGAAAAGTCGAATTGTAACTAACAGTGAAACTTCATCAGTTGAGATGGCTAGGACATGTGTTACGTATGCCCAACCATCCACTGCTCCGACATGCGATGTTTTATGGTGTACGAGCAAGTTGGAAGAAAGCTAGGGGCAGCCAGACCAAAACATGACACAAATCCATGAAGTCACTAACAAATGGACTGAGCCATGTTGATAAGTGTAGACTACCTGGCTGGGATCCGCGAGACGATAGAAACCGATGGTTAGAGACCTTGAATGACATAGCTCAAAATCGTTTGCAATGGCTCAGGTGCATCCACCCTTTGTGTTCTCCCAAATTCTAATCTTCTGAATTCTTCATGTCTTTTTTTTCTTTCCAAATTTGTTTTACTGGATTATACTCCTTGAATAACATCTTTAAACTATAATGTTTCTGATTACTGTTTATGTTTTTACTGCCCCTATCACCATGGGATTTGAATCGACAGCTGCATCTCTGTGCTAATGTGGTATGGCAACTCGAACTGATGTGCGTACGTACGAAGTTCTACGTTGTTGCTGACTGACTGGACAGTGAAATTCAGGATGCATGGTTCGTTCTATTTGAGACTCGTTAGCTGGATATATTTGCCATATTCCAGTATTAATATCTACATCAGGACTCAAACTCAGTAACTTTCGCAGGTATATCCAACTGATGAGTCCCAAGCAAAATAAAACACGTATCCATCGTTAGCCACAATCTAACTTTCCTAAAAGTTATACCTAAAGCAAATATCCAAACAGTTCAGGATGCACATCAACCAGTAGAGACTGATCAGATGCAGTCCTTAATATGAACGAAAAATAAACCCTTACGTGCACATGTGCCACCTGTTTGTAGCGAAACTAGCTTTTATCACTTGTCATAGTAGCTAGCAACTTGAAAGAACAAGCTCTGCTGTAGATATGTAGTGTAAACTATAAACTGGGACATCAAAGGTAGGTATTTCTTTTTGCATAAATGAATTTACATGATCTATTCCTACTGATCTCCGCTCATAATACTTAATACTTCGTCTGTCGCATACTAATTGAGTCATTTTATATGTACTTGTCTGAGTGAGCTCAGCAGTCATTTTGTCCGTGAATTAATATTATTTCATTATGTGGGTAACAGATGGAAAAATAAATAATCAAGTCAGACCAACGAATATAGAACTAATTTATGTTATTCAAAACAAAAAACTGCAGATCAGTAGTAAAAATTGATCAATTCTGTATTTTGGTTTTCCATATCTTGCCTTTACTCTTAAGTTTGATCGATTACTGTGATATAATCCACTATATTTTCTTTCTCAAGTGAACAACATGGATCAACGTAGGTAGCGGTAGTCAACCATCAAGATGTCCAAAATTATAGTGTAGATTTGTAACTTCATCGACTACTTTGTTTCAATTCTTAAAATTCACCTTCTTCACTTCGTATTTCTATTCACAACAAAAGATAATTCCAAGGTACATGTAGTCACTTTCTTTAGGATGCTATGGTATAAGGGAAAACTGTGAAGATTGGCATTTATTGATTCACTACAATTATCTAATTGAAATTGTATAGGTCGTACAACTCACTAACTTCAGACGTTTTCAGATATACCCATTGACAGGTTTCTTGTTCATAATCGTGAAAGGAACCTAACTGTCACTACTTAATATTATTCTTGTCCATTCATTTATTTTCAGTATATGATTATGGAGATTATTAGGTTATTGATTGAGATCAAGAACTGACTGATGTTAGACTACCATTGAAAACATGGAAGTACTGAACGGCCGTTTCATCCTATTGTAGAAACTCTTCAACAGTGTACATCCACGATCTCGCTTCCTGTTTCCTATGAATTATAAATGATCCTTTTTTTCCTCTCTTTCTCTTGAAATCATAGGTGATTTTGTTTATTATGAAGAACCAGATTTTGAATATTATACAATTGGTTTAATTGAAGAAATTAAAGTATCTAGACGTGATAAATTTTCAATATTTATTAAATGTTTTTATCGTACACGTGATATACCGGATATTTCAAAACAAGGTCTTCCTGATCGAGATCATTATCCAATTCATTCAAATATTAAATTAATTCGTGATGTAAGTTTATTTATGATTCTCTATTTTGTTTTTTTCTTTTTTCTTTCAAATTTTCATCTTTATATCACATCACGTACTCACTTTGTTTAAATGGCGTTCTAGTGTGTGTGTGTGTGTGTCTATATGCATATATAGGTATATACGGTTTACATCATACACACAAATGTACATACATTTAGAGGGAGAGAGAGTGTGTGTATGTGTGTGATGTGTTTATAAAATCGTTTGTTTTCAATTGATGTGTCGCTACCATCCTCTCCATCCATCCATCTATCTATTCATCATCATTGTGTAAATCGAAAGTGATGTTTATGCGTATATATATATATATGTGTATGTTGTTGTATCTCGCGCATCTCTCTCTCTCTCACTCACTTGTTCGTTTGCCCCAAATCTTTGTGTTTTATTTGATTTGATTTTGTTTTTGTATCTAAGTGATTATTGACTAGTCTGTAGTAGTAGTTAGTAGTAATAGTCGTCATTGTCATTGTAATACCACTGCTACTATTTATTAATATAACTACTATTAAACACATCTTTTTTTGTTCTTTATATGGAAACAGCAAATCAACTGACTGGAAGATTTTTATTTGACGGACTGTTAATAATTTTCATGTGTTTGAGATAGTAGTATATAGTATCTTAGATTCTATTGTATGGATATATAAGGAGATAGACAGACAGTGATAGATATGTCCACACACACACACACACGTACGCTCATGCATATACTGTTCAATGTAACACAATGAAATAATTTTTCCTTGTATTATTATTACTATGAGAATTCATGATAGATATTAAGGAGGATAGTCAGTCATAGAGCAAAGATATTAGATGTTAGATAATATTTAATGCCTTATAAGGTTATAACTTTTTTTTTTCAAAAGTCTTTGTTACTATTTTACAACATTCATTTAGGTGTGTTATTGTAGAAATTTCAGTTTTGAAATTAATGATTTTTATTTTTTGAAGGTTAATTAAAATGATGATGTAATGTGTTGACCAAATAGAGATTTGTATACTTAAGGCAGTCACATATTATGTATATGAGTGTTAATTATTAATGACCAGTTGTCTAAATTGGATTAAGTGAAATGGGATTCGAACTTAAGACTTATTGATGTTTTAACCATCAAGTCACTGCTCCATAATTAATATATAAGAGTAAAATTGGAAGCGACCAGCGAGTGGTAGTGGATATTCGCTTTTCGTCCTCTCAATTTCGTAAACAACACCCGCTCCATGAGAAGGCAGTGAGTAGGACTTCCCTGGCAGAGGCTATATAGGGAAGTCCTACTCACTGCCTTCTCATGGCGGAAGTGTTGTTTACGAAAATGATAGGACGATAAGCGAATGTCCGGCGCTTTAACCGGATTCCAAACCAATGGTGCACATGGGCTCCAGTATCCTGAAGGAACAAATGGCGTATGAACCAATTGTTGGTCACCGGCTTCCATGGGACTGCATCTCCTTACGATGCTCCACTGCCTTGTGGATCAGACGTTCAGGTGGAAGGCTCCGGGTGTGGCTCCCTAAGAAAACCACCTGCTTTGGTTTGGGCACCCGGGCAGTATCACAGCCCTCACACATATCGAATGAGATTTGTGTGATGCATATGTATTTGGTGCCTCTTTGTACCAATATCTATGTGTTGAAATAAATAAATAAAAAAAGTGGAAACATTGGACAGCCGTTACGGGTCTCCTCGATAGTGTACATTCACGATCCCATGACCAGGGACCGAAAACAGGGTCTTAGATCGCGCACATAAACGCTTAACACTTATAGGGCAATGAGCCGAGATCCAGTGCTATACAAGTCTGCAATATTACATGACCATCTTCGATTGCTTTCAGTAGATACCTTCCTCATAACCTACAAGTTTGAACTCCACTGGTCATAGCTTTCCACTAGAACTCTGAGGCTATTCACCTGGAGACACTGGATATTCGTAAATGTTTACACTCGTTCTTGCTTTCATAATATCTCTTTTCATCAACGAACATATCTGATGTATGGATTTCATAGTGATCACATATTGATCTTCCCAAAAACCAAGGATAAAGTGCAGAACATGAGAATCACTGTGATAGTACTTCTTGGGTTGTTCAGTAATTATTTTCTGGAGAGACTGTAAACATTTTATGAAAGCATGCATAAATACACATGGTTAGCAGATATAATTAATGGACTTAAAATTTATGACAATAAATTCACTTTTGGGAAAAGAGTGACTCAAAAGTTTAAGCAGAACAACTTCCGCTGAGTTACTGACCCACTCAGACTAGTAACAATAAAGGAAGTCTTTTTTTGCTGTTATTGTGCAGTGTCTGACTCTGATACCGATAGGCAGTTTTTTTGTGCATGAGCACAGCGAGTTACTTGAGTGAGAAGGAAGCATTTCTGGCTATCTGAATCGAAATATAACTGTAGACTTACATATATTCGTCTTATTGAAATTTAAATCACATTTTCCACCGTTGCTACGTTTTTTCATTCTTTATAAATTGTTGCTATATATTGACCAATCACGTGCGCAGTGTCTAATCAATGTTGATTACCATAAATTATCAGTTTTATTGCATTCGACAATAAAACGGGCTGTATTCAGTGAAAGAGAGAATGACAATAGTCGGATACTTAAAACTTTACCAAAACAAATATTATTCTGTCATCTACAATATTCTGCCTAAATCTATGCATATTTATTGAATGATTCCCATTTCACCAGAGGTGAATCGTATAGATCTCGTAGAATGAATAATAATAATAATAATAATAATAGTAAGGATAGCAATGAATTTTATGTTGGTAACTTGTTCTTAGTAAATAAGAGTAGGTTAAATAAAAGCTACGAGATGTCAAACTAAGGTTTAGTATCAGTTCGGAAAATCTAAACTGTGTTAGTAGGCGTAGACTTACCTACTTACATTTGTTACCCCTCGTGGAGGAGCGTGGGCCGCCAACCAGCATTCTCCATGAAACCCCAACCTGCGCAATCCTTTCCAGTTGCTATTCATCCTTTTGATGCTTGCTTCCAATTCCTTGTTCTTCTTTTTTTTTCTCTTTCTTACCTAGTTTGTTTCACTTATGAAACTGATATATGACATTGAATAGAAAATATGTTTTGTAAACAATATATGATGTTCACTTCATCCATATTATGTAATTTATACAGAGACAATAGTAAAACCGTTAATCTACTTTCTTGATTTTCAAACTGCTATGTTATTATTATTATTACCATTGAATTGCATCACTGAATTGTATCTTTCGTTTTGGTTATGTCATTGATTAGGCTTGAAATTTTCAGAGTATATGTATATAGGTACTCAAAAATATTTCTTTTATCATTTTGTTCTTCTATTTGTTATGAATAGATATTTGCTCGTGAATTATTTGTCTCTGAAGTTCAAGAGACTTTACCAGCTAAACAACTTCGTGGTTTATGTAAAGTGAATTATTTACCCGATTTAAAAACTGCATTATCTACATTTTCTCCAGAAGAAGATGATAGTTTTTTCTATGTATTTGCATATAATCCTGAAACTCGTCGTTTATCGAAAATTCGTGCAGAAATACGAGTACGTTAATCAGTTCATATGATCTCTCCTTTTTTTTCTTCTTTGATGGAGTTTTGTTCTCTGAACTGAATGGTTTGGTTTCTTTTTTGAATACAATATTTTTTTTTGTTTATTTGTTCATGTTTGCATAGAATGTTGTAATACATCAATATAAATTATGAAATACAAGTGTTTGTAGCATTGTACATTAAGTGTCTTTTCTGTTGCTTAGTCCAAATAAACAAATGGTTTCTATCACGGAACTTGTAGTTTGTGTAAGTTTGTTTGCGAAAATCTATTAAATGCTTGACACATACTCCATACCTGTCGATTATACGTGCAATGAAACCAGAGATAATGTTACTACCAACGAAACCAGATTAACGTGATTTGAAAATCACTGTTTTTCAATTTTATATAACTTCGGCAAAGAAATCTTGAAAATAATACCAACGAATTTTTATCGAATAACTGAATTGTAACTAGTGGTGAAATCCAGGACGTGGCCGGCCGTTGCTGCTATATTGACGTGATGGTCGTAATGAACCGATCGAGCTATACTGCCTGGAACAATCGTTTCTCAATGTCTTATAATGCCAGACAGGTCAGTTGAAGAGTGGTAAGACTAAAATCAGTAAATCCAAGGTCTGAGAACGAAGTCATACTGCTGTCTGTACAGAGGTGTGATGGCAGTACGCCGTTTCCTTCAGACGACTAGCATAACAACAATGTTGCCTTCCAACGAGGAGGGTGGGATTAGAAAAGGTTGACCCTAAAAATGCACACCTCATCCCATCCCTTGGATATCAGTCTCTGGCGGTAAGGTCCCAAGAAGTAAGGAGCTAACACTAAGATTACTCACAGAAAGTTCATGTGTGACCGGCCTCAAGCAGTTGTCCCTTGTGCTTTGTGGTCACGCTCTCATGTCACTAAAACCACCTCTAATCCAATTTCTTTCTCAGTTATCTCTAGAAGAACCCTTCCACGGTGTGGGCAACTGGGAAGTGAAAACCGCCCTCATACCTTTAACAGTGCTCAAGACCACTGTATTCAAGCTGACAATTTCAACTTATTTCCGTCATTTGCATTTTCTGTGATCAAATGTTTCTAATCTCCATATATGACCAAAAGGTCTCAAGTGTTAAGGACTATCATGAATCTTTGATAAACCGTTTAACATTATCTTTCATATATCACTTTACCAACGTCTGATTTCGTTCATTTGAGTATTCACTTATTGTATCCGGAAATACGATTTGCTGTTGTTCTCAGTACTTAGTATTTTTCACCGCCATTTCTGCTACATTATTCCAATTTCTTTTACCACGCATCTTGTAAATTTCATCTTCTTGTGCTAATATAGTTTGGGAACTTGTGCCACGTACACATTTGAGCTAGTCCCTAAGTTGATTCTAACTGACTAACACTGAAATATTATCTGATATGATTTGATTTCTTAATGTGTTTTCCCTTGTTGCCTCTTTCAGGTTGGACAAGCCTATCAAGCTTTATTGCCTGAATTTCGTCATTCTCCACCAGCTAAGTATCGCTTTGGACATAGTCGAGGCAGTTTTAGATCAATTAAACGTAGTCGCAAATCAAAAATTACATTGGAAACATCATACAAATCTAACCAAGATGTTAATACACTTAAATGTTTAAGAAAATCCCATTCATTGTCACCGTATTATCGTCGTAAATACCAGTGTAAAGCAATGAAGTCAGTTGCTGTTTCTAATGCTACTGCTGATAGTAGTAATAATAATGATAGTTTAACAAATCAATCAACAATCAATGATACATTGAATATTTCTAATCCTGACAATAATTCTACTATTTCAATGTTGAATAATAATAAGACACTAAAAACATCTTTAGAATTATCACCAACTGATAACAATCTTATTAGTAGTAATAATCATGTCACTTGTGAAATAGATACTATACCAAATTTATCAGAAGATATGAAAAATTCTGAAGACAACAATGTTGAAATAGATGTTCAACAACAACAACAACAACAAATGGATACACAAAATTCCATACAACTGTTAAATTTACCGCCAAAATTAGAGAATGCAAATGACTTTAAAGATTCTTTAAACACTATAACTACTATTGATTATTCTCATTGTAGAAAGCATCATTCTTTGTGTATGCACAAGAATCATTCATATTATAGAAAACAATTACATCATCATCGGAAAAAACGACATCGTCGGTTACGGCGGCGGTGGCGTCAGCAACAATCACAATGCAAAGAGGTACTTGTATGGAGTCCTGGTGGTCTATCCTCTGCTCTGTCTGGTACATCTAAGAAATTTGATTTTTCAAATAACACTGCTTATAATCATAATAACATTAATGTTAATGATATCAATGACAATTTTAGTAATGTATCAAATAACATCAGCACTGATTTCAATTCTATGCTTTCCGATGAACCATTAAAGAATTATTTAGATGCTGTACGATCAATGGTGGCATTTTTCGGATTTGGTGGTGCTGATGATGATTTAGCATCAGCTGAAAATGGTCTGGTACTGGCTAATTTAGCTGCAACAACACAACATGCTTATGATACATTACATAAGTGTAATTATTCATTAAGAAATGCCCTGCAATCGATATCATGTAATCCTATTGTAGCTAAGGTAATTTGTTGTTTTGCCAAGTGGAATTCTTCTTGTCGTTCTCACTACACGAACACTAATCGTTTTTCTTTTTTTTGTAGCTAACGATGTACGGATTAGTGCATTTTACTTCAAGCTATATTTTAAGCGTGAAGAGCTAGTGAAACTATTTGATTGCTCAAACCGAAGTAGTTAGAGTGGCATTCAAACCTGTTACTCTATATTTTAAGATTAAAAACCTTAACCACTATACTACCATTCAATCCAAGTGGTTAATAAACTTTATATTTAACCACTAAGTCACGGGTTTGAACTCCACTTGACCTACTACAGTTTGAGTAATCGTTTAGTATCCACTGGCCTTTCTTTACACGCGAACAGTGTAACATGTATTTGTACGTTGTAAATGAGTTCATTTTATGAATAATTCAGATAGATGAAATTACGAACTCAGTTATCATGTGCACGTTCGTCTTCTTTTTAGTTTCATGTTATTATCAGTGAACAGTAACATTACTCTCTCTACTTTCCTCAAACCTAAACTAAATAGAGAGGTGTTGGGAATTTGTCACTACCTATTAGGTCATAACTAACTTCACATCATTTGAAAGTATTTTACTTGTACTCTATTTTTTCTCTTCCATACAGAAACAATTATTAAACGTAATATTTACAATTGATTGATTACTGACCAATGTCATGCAAGTCATTCTTAGTGTTCGTCGAATTGTATCGATCAAGTTACAATGTAGCCACTAATTTAAGTTAATGCACATCGCGTGCACTATGTTGAGATGCAAGGTGGTGGTTGGAGGTGGTCAATGAGGAAACCTGCTTACGTACTTTTCGTGTTACCTGGTACTTGTCAACAAGATGTACCTGTAATCCTGAAGTAAATGATGCTCGTTGACAGATTGATAGAATTCGATCACTACTAAGAAGGATTTGACATATATGATATTGGTAACCTAGGTCCAGGTTTTCCTGTCGACTACCTCTAACCATTACTTAATTATGGCTCTACTTAACTTAAAACATTTAATGGACACTGGAGATCTGTATTAATAAACTTATGGGTGTTTTTCTGGAGATTGTAGTAATTTAATGGTTGAATTCATGAGTCAATTAAAGCTAGACCGCCATGGGAAACCTGGAAGCACTGGGAGGCCGTTTCTTCCTAGTGTGGGACTCCTCAGCAGTGCGCATCCACGATCCGGGACGCGTGATTCGAACCCAGGACCTTCGGTATCGCACGCTACCGATTAACCTCTGTCTATATTTTAAAATTCTACTGGTTATCTATATCATTAATTAATCTCTGTATGCTCAATTATGTGGAATATTTAATTACAGTTATGCAACAATTCATGATTCATTATGGGATATTTATTTAGCTGAGGTGACTTGATTCTCTGTGTGTTTATAGATGTTATACATTGATCTATTGACGTAGTAGTACTATTATTACCAATTCTTTTTCTATTTAGGATACACCTAGACATTGGACAACAGATCAAGTTCGTTTATTTGCACATGCTTTACGTATTCATGGTAAAGATTTTTTTAAAATTCAACGAAATTTCTTTGGTGGGAAAACATTCGTTAATAATAATAATGATAATAATAACAATAACTCTACCGGCAATAATGGGAATAATGTAAATGGTGTTGGTCTCTGGAATTCAAGTCAAGTTGGCAATGGACGTTTACGTGGTCGTGGTCGTCGTAAATTGGGTGGCACCGGCGGTAGCGGTGTCTGTTCAAGTGCATCTACATTGAAATTACCCAGTTTAAAATCAGATGAAATCGGCAGTAGTACCTCAGTAGCAACAGTGCTACCGAGTAAATTGGATGAAGTTAAACCAGAGGATGCTACATTTGTACCTACCTCTGGGTCATCACATGACGGTGGAGAATCAGTTGAAAACGGTATTGTGTCAGGTAGGTTTATTTATCAATATGTTATTTATTTATTCATTGAAACTACATGAGCTATGGTACAGCATAGTTTCATAGAAGAGCCTCACACAAATGAAATGGAGATACTGTGGAAAAATGATAATATAGTTAATAAACAAATGAAAAAGCATTATACTCAATAGGTGATACTGTTCATTCTGAAGTAAAACCTAAAATGCATTCTTTCAGTTATAAAATCTCTCTTATTTTTGGCATTTATTACAAGCTATACCTGATAATTTTGCAAACTACTCAGTTGCACGATCTCGAGGACATCAACTGAAGAGTTTTGATGAACTGACAGATCCTAGTCCTGTGCTGATTTCATTCCACGGCTACATGTCACAAACTGACTATCCCATCTTTTTGTGCTCAATTCTAGTGCCGGTAAATAATGAGCGATGTGAGAGCACCTGGGATAAAATTTGTTTAACTTGACGATGGCGTTGCTGCCGGATGTGACCAGTCCTTCGTAGATAACACTAATCGAACAAGGGGAATCTCTGGACATTCTCAGCTCAGATAGTGCGGGTTTCACTAACATAAAGTAGAACTGCTCCAACTGATGGGTTGTATATACAAAATTTTACATACAGACTGTCATCATGACAGCACTTAGGATATTCCAGAAGGATTTATTCCACTCTAGATTTCACTCTGTTTCATCTTCCACACCGCTACTAACACACACTACGTGTATACGCAAACTTTTCAATTACATTTAATGTGTCACCATAAAAAGTGGGTGCTAACACAAATTCATCTCAGTCTCGCAACGATGTTTTACATTTATAAGGCCAACCACGTAGTTCTTTCATAGCTGTTTCCAGAATGCCATTGATGCTTAAGTTGAAGAAGGGATCTCGTGATTATATATATATATATATATATATACTTGTTAAATCAAATTATTTGTGTTGGGGAGATCTAGTGTATTCCTCGAAAAAAAACGAAAGGGACCGTGAAAACGCTAGTAAACATTTTATCCAATCAGCATTGGATAGAGGTTTCTCAGAAACATCTAGAAAGTGAGGAGTAATTTTTCTGACTGGATGGTCACCTATCCTACTACTAGGTTTAGTACATTCCCAGAACCTTCCAGAAGCCCAAGGCCATCAACCAATTCTCAATATTGCGCTATCACTGCCAATTGTCATTGGTGATATCTGTTTCACTCCGTTAATCATTCGACGTTATTTTAATAATCACTAGTGAAATTTATGATACCATTATTCTGTAACATCACTATTATTTATATTTGCAAATAGATAAGCAGTGGGAACAAGAAATAAATACATATGTATTTGTGTAGGGAACTGATGAAAATGATTAGTCCGTTACTGGAACGCTTATTACTGACTTTTAAGGAGCTTCTTATAACTTCAAATTTCTTTTACATATCAACCGGAATAATTTAGAAAAAAGGTGAAACCTGCGAGTAAGAGTTTTACTCTATGGTTAGTTTGTCTACAGAAAATCAGAGGTATTTATAGTTTTGAACGACCTTAGACTTTTAGAACTGCCTGGAAACGTACCAATTATAGTAGCAGCACATAACACGTGATTCTTCATTGTTTAGATGTTTCTACAAAGCTAGTGTTTTTTGGAGCCTCCAGAGACTTTGGTGAGTGATATTTCGGTGACACTCCAACAAAGTCCAATTGAGAAGAACTATCTTTCCTCTTTGTTTATTCTTGTCTTTTGAGTGAAATAACTTTGAATGAGCGAAATCTTTTCCTGTTACAATATCTAATCTGCTTGTACTGTCAATACTTACATTGATTAACTTAAATGTAAATGAAGTGTCGCGGAAGGTGGAGGAAGTTTAATTTATCAATATAAATGTTGTGCTTTATTTCTTTTCGTTGTTGTTACAGGATCCACCACATTGAAAGGATCAAATTGCAATGATGAAAGTACTCTATCCACAGGTCCTCCTGTCACAAATGAACCAATCAAGACTGTTAAGGAATTGATAGCTTTTTATTATTATTGGAAGCGGAAAGGTACATCGTCTTGCTCATCCTCATCCTCATCAGCATCGATTAGTGGTGTAGGGGGTGGTGGACATGGTGGTCTGAGTTCAGTTGCAGCGAATTTTGCAACTGCAGTAGTTGCGGCCACACTTAACACTACTACTACTGATACTAGTGTTGCTGGTGCTAATAATAATCATATCCCATCTTCATTAAGCGGCAATACAACTCCTTTCGAATCAGCTAATAATATGAATGGTAGTGCATTCTCTACTCAAGCTCATATCACTTCTGTCAGTGTTAAGAAAAGGAAACCAACAAATCGTGGTTGTGTTCGTAAGTTTATATGTATACATATTTTTCAAAAATATTTCCTTTTTATTATCTCCATCATTTTCTTTAGTTCATAAAGATCACCAAATGAGGAATAGTGAGTGGAGATACACAGTACTAAGTAATGATGGTGAATCGGTTGGTAACGTTTAAGGTATGTACTATGTAAACCCAACCATCACCTACCTCAACACTCGATGTTTGTTGATGTGGAATTAAATTGAAATAATGTTTAGGAGAGATTGAATCAATGCTTCCCATCAATTCATGACATTATTAACTATTAGACTAAGCCATGTTGATAGGCTTAGGCTACTTGGTTAGAGTCCGCGCGGATATTATAACCAGTGAATGATTAGTTGATATGTTTCACAATAGCACAAATACATTTACTCTGCATTTTCGTTTACATTTTGAGTTTTAGAATAATCTAAGACATCCCTCCCATATTGTTTTTTTTACTACCACTACTACTGTTATTAATTCCACTAAATACGACATTTCTTTGTTCTGATATGATGTAGCAACATAAGTCATATTTATTTATTCATTTGTTTCAAATACTTATGCTGCACAGTTGTCGATGAGAATTATAGTTCTGTGGTTAAGTGATCTTATTCAATTCTGAACTATTCTAATTGTTAATTCAATCAAATTTTTAAACAGTATTTTTACACATTGAATATGTTTTCTAGATTTGATGCATTATTACATAGTTGCACCTTTGTTTAGTTTTACAAATCGTAAGATTGGTTATTGGTATTTGATTAGACAAGTATGGTTGATGAGATTGTAAATCTTCATCGACTAAAGATGGTTAGGACATGTATTACATATCTCTACCTATCGTCAACCTCGACGAAGTATACTAGCTGGGTGTGCTCCCTGTGGTATTCGATTGAGTATCACTCAGCTTCACAGTCTGAAACGTAACCACTTAGCTATTCAAGCCGCGATTAACTTCCTGTATGACTGGAATTTTCACATTAATCGATCGCTGAGTGGTGATAAGTGTTATGTTTGTTTATCCTGTAAGGTTAGTCGTAATCTATCGATCAAATTAAAATATAACAACTAATCCAAGTAACTCGACATCATTTCTCAAAGGTTGAATAAGGTTTCGTCCCGACTGTCTCTAACCACTTAATTTCTATATCTACCTTCGTCATGATAATCAAATACTACTGTTATTATCCCTTTCATCTACACACACACACGAAACTATAGGACTATAAATGTGTTGTTGTCTAAGTCTAGAGAGATCATTGTTCACTGTGTACTTGCCTACTTATCGGTGTTGTCCTCGTTGTTGTTGTACTGATGATTATTTTGTCTCTCGCTCTTTCTAATTCTTAATTAACTAACTTGTCAACATTTCACTTAATCCTGTCAACTTCAATGAGTTATACATGTGTGTGTGTGTGTGTGTGCGTATGTGTCCTATTTTGTGAATTCTATTCATTAGAAGTAGTATTTCTTTTTTTAAAAAAAAGTGTTTTGTTTTCATATCTTCCTGGGTAATTATTATCGATTCATGCTAAGAATTGTTTACTTACTACTACCATAGTGATCACAATGTTGGTAATGATTCCTTTGTAATTCCTACTTTCTTTTTGAATGATTTCATATATGTGTGCTTGTGAGATTTCAAACATAATCCCTTTAAAAAAATCTATGCATTATTTTTACACATCTAATTAACAATAGATTTTTAAGAATTTATAAGATTATCCTCTTTTTCTTCTCATCACTATTATTATTATTATCATCATCAACATCATCATCATTGTTGTAATTATCCGTTTACGTTTCTCCCCTTTTTTTTAAAATAAAAATTATCAATATTTCCTCTCTGTTTATCCATCTATCTATCTATCTATCTACCTACCTATTTATCTATCTATGCGCCTTTTGAATGAAGTAACTAAACAAGCTTGGCTTGGTATCATTGAGCATCGTAAAGCTGCGGAGTATGAACTACGAAGATTATTAACACTGAAATATGAAAAGAATGATAATCATAATAATCATAAAAAGAATGATGAATTACAACATCAAAAAACTGGTATATCTGTATTCATATTATGTATATTTGTGTATGTCTATTTGTATAAATGTCTACGGTGTGTGCTTTTACGTGTACATATTTGTTCTGTTTTCTTTTTTATTAGTTCTGATTGTTCCATGTTCTGTTTTTATGTGTAGGGTTTAGTTGTTGCTACTGCTTCTATCACTGTTTATATTTCTCTTCTTTGTTCTCATTATTGACTAAGTGTAATATTGGTTAGTTAGTTAGTTAATTACTACAATGACCAATATTTTAATATAATTCTGCTTGTCTCTTTCTATCATTTACCATTTTTTTTGAAAAGAAAAAAAATAGTTTCACAGTTGTTTTTTTATATGCGAAGAGTTTTTCTCTTGTCAATCAATGTCTTTCAATGTATCAATATTGATGTATATCAATGTGTGTGTTTATTTGAGTAAATGCTTTTTTCGTTGTGGTTGATTATGTGTTTATTAGTTTTATGATATTAAATTGAGTAATGAGATTCATATCTGCGCGAAACCAGTAGGTCCTGGATTCGAATCTCGCAGGGGGCGAGGTCGTGGATGCGCACTGTTGAGAAGTCCCACAATAGGACGAAACGGCCGTCCAGTGCTTCCAGGTTTTCCATGATGGTCTAGCTTCAATTGACTCATGATCTTAACCATTGAGATTCATATATATTGGTTGTTTCAATATTCTCATTAATGTTTAGGACTGTAATTAATCCGGTCTCTTATCGGCCTATATGCATTCTATGACTAGATGTTGTCATTAATTCGCAAGTACTATAAGCAGACATGGATAGTGGCTAGTAGTGAAATCCATGACGCGCGTCGTTTCGTCCTATACGAGATTCATACTAAGCTGGATACACATGTTTCCCAGAGTTAATGTTCATCGAGGGACTGGAACCCAGTGCTGTTCGTTCCAAACATTATCGCCGTATTCCCTTAGCTAATGAGTCCAAATAGCCACTGCTTTGTGAATAGTGAGAATTGATGGCATTGTGTTCAATCGATAACCGATTATTACCGTTAATCAGTACAGAGTTATCAGCTAATCAGTCGATTGACCGATTAACTGACTATATGTAACAGATTAAAGTTGATGCAAACATTCAGTGCACATGATGCATTCCACTGCAATTATCCGGTTTGTTTCCTCTCCTCTCTACAAACTCATTTTCTTTTACAAATAAATTTGTAATAGGTTAAAAACAATGACCACAACAACTACTGTTTTATCAATCGGTTATTTGTTGATTATTAATACTGATCGCTTGGCCATTGATATTTCTTGACATTAAAGTGTTTGCAAGTTGAATGTTTTCATTTGTTGTTGCTGTTTTCACTGTTATTGTTTTCGAACTACAAGACATGACTTGTGAATAAGTGAATTCATTCCAGTTTTGTTGGAATTCGATATGAAATCGTTAAATTTTCAAATCCCTCTACCACTATAGGATTTGAATAGACAATTGCATCTGTGTGCTAATATGGTATGGTAAATCGAACTGATGTACGTACGTACGAAGTTCTACGTTGTTGTTGACTGACTAAAATTTTCTAAATAATTTTTATTTCATGATACGAAGAGTAAGAGAAATTTGTTAAATTCTTATACTGCCAAGGATACTGCATTGTAATACTGAATAAATTGTTAAGAATTTGTAATGATTACCATTATTATCATCATGTATCTGGGGTGGGGGATAGTTTCACCGTATTCATTTATTTATTTATTCATAATATGATTATGTAATAATTATGTTTTTCTTTCTCTATATTTCATTATCCCCTTTTTTACAAGTCAATTATTCAAAATCAACATTGATTAATGATGATAAATCAGAGTCGATTGATCCAAGTCATCCTGAATCAGAAATTGAAGAGAATTATGATTTAGGTAATAAAAAAAAGAAAATGTGATAATTTTGTTTACTTTCTAAAAATTGACAACCACAACAATACTGTTTTTTCATAGTGTTTATATAATTTAATCTCTATATGATTATAGAAAACATTAATTATGAATTGGTTTATCATCTTTTTGCCAATAACCTCCTTGATCTATAACACAATTACTATGAATAATGACCAAAAGAATCTTTGATTCCATGAACTGCTTTTAACCCCAAACAGGCAGTGAGAAGATGAATATAAAAAAGGGGGTGATAAACTCTTTCATTCTGTATTTGTCTCTACCTATGAAGATTCAAAAACTGCATAGGTTTATATGTCATTAACTGCATAGTCACATAGTACTACAAACAAGAAACTATAATGTGTATGTGACCAAACCATAAATGATATAGATAATTCCATAATTAATTAACGATAATCTTAGTCAGTCAGATAGTCATACGCAACATAGAACCTGTCAGATATGTGTACATCAGTTCAAGTTCCCACACCCCAATAACACTAAGATCAAATTGTCAGGGGAAATCCTAGGGCAGTACAAGGTGGTAAAAGTATTTGGTGGTGGTAGAAAAGATTAAGCATAGAAGATACGATTCGAAAAATTGTGGATTTTTGGGATAAACATATTTACGATACAATTAAGAAATGAAGATCTAAGGGAAGGTAATGAGTAAATGGAACTGCACCATTGTGAAAAAGATTTTGAGCCATGCCATTGAAAGTTTTCAGTCATTAGTTCTGATAATCTGAATCAGGTAGTCTGCGTTTACCTACACGAGCCAAACTAAAAGTTGATAACTTTATGAACTGATTCCATATCTTAGTTCGGTCGCTCCTACTTTTCTTCCAATTTATTCATACATAAAACATTGTCGCATGTCTAAGAAGTCGATAAAGATTCACTGCTTCAATTAATTTACCATTCTTACCTAGTACTCTACTTCTAACTACATAGTTGCTAATTCGGTGATCCTAAAATACACGAGCAATGGTTCGATAATTTAAGGACAATAAAATTTATATCACAATCTAATGAGCCAAACAGAGGCTTAGAATATGAGTAATATAACGATGACTATAATCCCCTTCTCCAAATATCCGCTTCAATCTAAAATCTACCAATTCGTCATTGTGAACTGTGTTTATTTTTTTATTTGAACACATAAATATTTGTACAAATGGGCACCGAATACATATGCACCACATAAGTCAGTTGATTTTTGTGTTGGCAATGATACTGTCTGGGTGCTCCAACCGAAGCAAGTTGTGAACTGTAACTAAAATTGAATGCATTAGTTTTAAGCATTGATCATTATAATTTATCATTGTGTAATTCAAAGTTACATAAAACCTGATGCATTAAATTGTGCCCTGTCCGATATCAATATTAAATAGAACTGTCCAATCACCAATTAAATAATCTGCACAACTGTTTTTGTTGGTCATGCGATTGGAAGTGATAAAGATGATTTATGTTTCTCTGTAGTGTTAAATAGACCGATTTCCAATTCTGAGGAAACCTGAAATCAACGGTGGTATTCAATATCAGTGACTGACATCATTTCTTTGTAAAAGTATATGTTCAAAACATTTCATACATTTTCTTTCTGAATTCTCTATCTAGGGAACACTGGGCATGATGATGTTGATATACCTGTGACATCTGGTGAGAAAGCAGAAGAAATTACACCGGTTTCTACAACATCAAGTGCAGATTCACTATCAACTAGTCGATCACGTAAACGTGTATGCAGAAATTGTTCTGTGGAGTTGGCATCTACTGGGGAAAGTCCGCCTTCACCCATGGTATGTATGCAAAAATTACATTTTTATTGTATTTCTCCATAACCGTAGCTTTCATTCTGATTTGACGATCGAGGTTGTATATCATGTTGACCCAATCGGACTATATTAAGTGGTACACTTGTTTGTTTAGGTCTTAACATACCAGGCAGGTTGATTTTAGATTGATAGAACTAAAAGCAGTAAACTCATGATCCGATGAAGTCGTACTACCGATTGTCCTGTGGCCTGATTGCAGTGCTGTGTTTCCTTCAGACAATCACAATTTGCCTTCTAACAACACAAGGAAGGAGTTAGAACAGTTTGGACAGGAAACTTTATGGTGTCCCATGGATTTCCATCTCCGACATTAAAACGTCTATAGTACGGAAGGATAACTCATGTAAAACTACTCTCAAAAATGTCACATGTTATCCGTCCTAAGCAGTCCTCCTTTAAGCTCTGCAGTCACACTCTCAGGTCACGACGACCACTCTTTATTCAGCTTTTTCAAATACCTCAAGAAGAACTATTCTTCCATAGTCTGACCAATTGGGAATCAACAACAATCCTCATATCTCTAATAGTACTAGACTGTACAGTACTAACTGTACTACTTAAATATAAGTAAAACTCATTAAAACTTGTAGTGTGACAAACAAATGTAATAGTCTAAATTTTAACAACATTGTTCTATGACTGACGTACTTTTTTGCGGTTCAAATTATTCATGGGCTCAGTTGAAGCTATTTGTTCAAACTCTGACTAACTTTATATCAGTTTACTGTTGAATTGATGTATATTGTTTAAAGAGCAACTACGCATCTATCATTCTTCAAACTATAGTAAAAATCGCTTTATTCTGTATAGTAAAGTATTTTCATCACAAAATGTAAAATATTGCATTGAGTTTTATTTAAATTGTGAATATTGAAAACATACAAATGTATGTAATTTTCAGTATGGGGTGTGAAAATAGTTGAATTTCAATGAAATTATCAAGCTGGACGGCCTTTTCGTCTTAGTATTCTCACTAGTGACTAGCTTCGAGAGGGAATTTATGGTGTGCTAGTTAGAAGCTTTGATCGGTAGAGCTAAATCATGTCGAGTGTGAGGCAGTTTCCTACCGAAGACTATGGAAGATGGTCACTCATCGTGGATTGATTTAGATTAGAAATTAAATCTGTTAAGCATCCGGGTGCGATGCTGATGCTTCTGGGTTCGGGTTTTGTGTGCGAGATCATGCGTGCTCACTGTTGAAGAGCACAATAATAGGACGAAACAGTAGTCTAGTACTTCCTTTTTTCCTACGATTGTTTATATTAGATCGGTTTCACGATCTCAGTGAAATATATGTGAATAAAAGTTTTGCGACGACAGCTAATAGTAGTTCACACTAATAAGGGCTCAAGCAAAATGTTACACATTTATAAATGTGAATATTAAAAAAGTGCATATTAACAAAAGTGAGCATTGGAAGGGAGAACAAAACTTTTAATGATGTAAAATCTGTTCGATTTACCATTTGTTGGGGAAGACCTTCCTAAAACGAATATTATGGTGGAGGGATTCCATAGAGGCTTCAGCTAATTTGTTGGTGCTGCTCATCCAAGTATATGGAAACCTATTGATGCTCTGAAAAAAAGAACAATGTAAATTGATTGAAAACTGAACAGTTCGTTGCTGAAAGCTAGCAACAGCACCTAAAAAAGAAAGATAGCAGTACGTGTTAAACGGACTGTAGAAGATTATGAAAACAGATCGACAGTAGACTATTTAATTAGAATAATTCATGTCTTTTTAATCTTAAAAGAAAAGGATTTCTTAGCATTTTAATTTATAGTGAAATTCACCAAACATTTCCTATATATTTTCGAAACATCGAATTGGTCTTACAAAATAACATGATTAGTGTGGATATGGAGGTTCCACCTAGGGAAGTTGGAAAACCCTGACTGTAAATCAATGGTGCACATGAGCTCCAGGATCCTGAAGGGACAAATGGTGTACGAACCTATTGTTGGTCACCGGCTACCATCGGATTGCATCTCCATACGATGCTCCACTGCCTTGTGGGTCAGGTATTTAGGTTAAAGGCTCGGGAGTTGCCCCTTAAGAAAACCACCTACTTCGGTTTAGGCACCCGGGCAGTATCACAGCGCACACACAAATCAAGTGACTTGTGTGGCGCACATGTATTCTTTGTACCAATGTTTATGTGTTCAAATAAATAACGTGATTAGGGTAATAAAAATAACAATTTCGTTACCAAACTTCAAGAATTACAGTGTTTGATGAAAGTATACTCTTCATTATGCTTTTAGAAAGCCACTTTTTTGATTGATCCTAAGATATGAAAGCAGAGAGCGAATCGAACAGATTTCACATCATTAAACATGTTACCTCACTTTCAATGCTCACTTTTAATTGTATACGTTTTTTTTGTAATGATCTCCTTTTCAATAATCCACCTTATTAATGCAAGCTCTTTTGAACAGATACCTTATTGACATGGAATAATTTAGGTCAATGCTTATTTATGCCCAGCTTCTAGGTATTTTGACCAATTGACTAACATTGGTTAGCTACCAATTATTTTCGTCTGGTAAAGTTCACTACCAGCTTAACTCCCTAGATGTATTTTTGCTCTCGTAATACATTCGATACATGAATCCCAATTAAATCACTTCGATTTTTTTCTATCTTCAAAGTGCAAACAAAGTAACAGTTGTACTAACGCGCACTATAATCATAGGCTTAATAGTAATGGTAGTTCAACTTAGTATTCACTATATTTTTCTCATTATTGGTTGCAAACTTTTCTTAAAAGTATATGAATTGACATGGCTAATAAGTTAAGTTAAACAAATACAAAATCGGAACAATTCAGATATACTTACTGTTACCCCTCGTGTAGTAGGAGCTTAGACTGCCCATTGGGATTCTCCATCAAACTCTATCCTGACCAATCCTTTCTAGTTGTTTCAACTTGCTATTCATTCTTTTAATATCTGTCTCCAATTCCTGATGCAGTATATTCCTTGATATTCCTCTTTTGTCTGCCTTTAGGATTCCATATCACGGCTCGCTTTATGATACAGTTTGATAGTTTTTCTTCATGTTCGGTTAACAGAAGATGAAGTTATATATAAACGAGCAATATTGTCACTAATTAAATTTCATCATCAAACTTTTATTATACATAAATATTCATATATCAGGCAGAAAGTATAAATTGATCGTACGAAGAGAACAGATATACTAGTAGGAGTGATTAGTATAACAAAAATTCTGATGAATAGTTTAACTTAGAAAGTAGTAGGTCAAACTTAGATGTATCGACTTTAAAATAATAATCATAAACCATTAATAAAATTACGTAATAAGAAATGTATGTAATTAGACTGATAATGAAGAATAGAGACGGGAAATGGTGACATATACGAGATATGAAAGAAAACTAGTCAGTAAATCATAAGTTGATGTGATGCAGGCCACCGAAAACATAAAAAAACAAAACAAATTTATCTGAAATAAATAGACTGTGTGTAACAAGCAAAACGTTTCGTTCTATTTACAACTTGTCAGATGTTTCGGGGACTCGAACCCGGTACTTTTCGCTACAAACGTCATCGCATTATCCATTGAGCTAGATTTCATGTAACTACTCATTTATTCGATGGTTATGATATTTACATCAGTAGTAGAAGAGTTTGAGTTATCCCGCTTAAATGATAAGTGTAAAACTCACATCTTAAATTCCTTTGTGTTAGCCACAGTTTATCCATTTCATAAAATCTTATAATAAGTATCTATATCCAGTGAATTACTTACAGAATATACATAGAGAAATTAAAACTGATCGTCATTTATTTAAGAATATTAACAACCATCTAACTGAAACATTTCTAACCATAATTATATTTTATTTTCTATGTTTATTAATCTCTAACTAGTGAATCATGTATCTCTTCTTAAAAAGAAAATTTATTATTATTAAGTTCACTTGGTATTGTTTACTTGAATGTTCCCATTGATGTTTAGGAATGCAATTGATCAGTCTGTTATTGGCATATGTGCATACTGTGCGTATTGCCTCTATTATAGCCTTAATTCACAAGCATTCTAAGGAAAGATGGATAATGGTTAACAGTGGAATTCAGTTTGATGTGCGATTCGTCCTATTTGTGACTCTTCAGCTGGATGTGCCTGCATCTCAGAGTTGTTCACTGTGGGTTCAAGTCCTAGAGTGAACCTCTATTTGACCTGGGTTTTGTGCTTTTTAGTACTCTTTCATAAAGTCTACCTGTAATCGTAGCCAAACTAGTTATCCCGATGTTGACAATCTGAGACTTACCGTTGAGATATTCAACTTTAAAAGTCCCAACTAACATTAAATCTAGTTCAAGCATTGTTTCCTGTCTACCACTTTACATCTTAATATACGTACATACGATGTCGAATCACTTCGAAAACTAGTGACCAATAAAGCATTGCATTGATCGCAATACTTGGTTGATCAATCAATTGTAGATAACTTGATCTTTCTTCTTAAACGTTCAGTGTATTCCTTTAAGGCATAATTAATCTCACAATGTTCATAGTAAAAATATATAATGACTTATTATTATTTAACTTGAATTGTGCTTTTCAATTTATGTTATTAGCCTAATCATCATCAATTGGGACAATTACGACTTCTTTGTTCTGATTGTCGTATTTATTTACAAAAATACGGTGAATTGAAGTGTACATTGAAAGAAGAGGAAATTAATAATCCATCTGAAGTAAGTAATTTACAATATTTGTCTGTTTGTTTATTTCCTGTTTAACTAGGGTTATGTGTTGTTCGAGTAATTACTGTTTATTGACTAAGTTGAATAGATACCAGGAAGTTTAATTAATGACTAATTAAATAAATGTGCATTTATTTATAGTGAAACCCACGATGTGTGTTTCATCCTATTTGATACTTATCAGTTGTGTGTACTTGGATCACATAGTTGATACAGGTACATCCAGCTGATGAATCCTAGATAGGACGAAATACGAGTCTTGGGTTCCACTGCTAGTCACATATAAACTTATGTTATAATGATTACATTAGAGCAGTCCGCATAAGACGCATATATGCCAACTAAGTTTTATCAAAACTTCAATCAAAATATCAACAACGAAAGATTCAAGGCGTTACAAATGAAATTAATGAAATCCTTTAATTTACAATAATGAGAATCAATGTTACAACATTATCAATTATCAATCTTTCATAGTCAGCATAGAATCTGGCACGAATGTACTTTAGTTCAAATTATCACACTATATCAGTACGACAAGAAGAAATTAACAAGTTGAATAGCAAAGACATCAAGCTAGTACTAATATTTGTACCAATAAAAATGATTATCATTGAGATATATCACCCAAAGCTTTTAATCATTGATTAAGATAATCGCTCGAACTTCAACCCACTAGTCTGCGTCTACCTACATGAATTAGTTCAATTGTTAACAGCTTCCTTCACCAAGTAATATCACATGTTTAGTTAGGGAGTGTGGTTGTGCATATGTTTCACGTTTTTGAACCACCTTATTCGATAAATATGCGCTGCTTTATCGACATTTTTAAAATACTTACCCCAGTCTCTATTCATAACTCACTTTAATTCACCACCTCATATTCAATTGGGAACTGTTTTTCCCTTTTGACACATAAGAGAATGATCGTGTCTTTAGAAACATTCATTCTTAAGTGTATGATAAGTTTTTAATCCCCACTTTGACGAGAATAACAACTCTACGTAAGCCCAGGTCTCTACGTTTGTACATTGTAATATTCCTCTTATGTGTTGTTACAGCCTATTGAATAACTTAATCAATCAGTCAGATGTGAATTCAATACATTAGTCAATTTCCTGATAGTTTACATTTCGGTGCGCTTTTTTAAATGTGCTAATATGTAACTCAGTTGTACGATTAATGTGCCTAACATTCAACTATTGATTGATTTACAGTTTTTATTACGAGTATTCCCTCTATTAAAATTTGAACACATCCGGTTATCATTACCCTACTATGATTTGATCATAACCGGTATTCCACATGATCTTACTATATCAGTGGGGTTATTTTGTGCTACAGAGTTGTTCTACCTGAAATTCCTGAACATCTTACCTCTCTATCTATTCTTATATCACGTAGTGTTAGTAATGTGGGCTAATTGTTGAAATGTCGTGTGTGTGTGTGTATCTCCGTTAACCAATCTTCTGAGGTTGTGTAGATTCAGTCGTTCATTAAAATATCTCAATCATTGGTAATGATGAATTGCTGTCGGTCATAGCAAAGTTTAACAATCTAATGTAATCTAACAGTTCAGGATATATAAGAATAAAACTATGTCCATAAATAATGTTGGTTCATTTTTGTTACATATTAGATAAATGAAACGTATTACTCGAAATATTAAAAAATTTCACAGAAATACGACTATGATTTTACTCTGGTGTAGGTGTATACACTCTCTGTCTTCCCCCAAAATATGAGATTAAAATTGCTTTACATCTTTCTTTCTACGAACTAATTCTTTCTTCCTGTACTTTATCCTTATATGCCATCTTTCTTTTATATATTACCACCACTACTTCTATGAATCCAGTGTTCATCTTGTTGTGCTACTAAGGTATGGCAACTTGGACTGATGCATATATGTGCCTGGTCCTACGTTGTAATTTACTGACTGGCTGATTTTACTCTGCACGATTCTACCATTGTCACTATGTAGATTATTTTCTCATTTTTAGTTTTTTTTTCTTCATAGAAAACAGATCTGTTAACCATTGAATACTTTTTTCTAGGTTCTTTTCATGTTATAATTATCGATTTTTTTTATTTTGTACATTTTTATCTCATTATGTAGACGCTGAATTCAATATCCAATGGTAAGCTTCAAACATTTTTGATTTTGCGTATGATGTTTTGAATTTAAAATTTCATTTCTCCCTTTACACGACATACTTCAGCATTTGATCTGTTCTGTGTATCTGTACTGTCACTGAAGTGTCCCATTGAGGTGTATGCTATTTATGTTGACATATGCAAGTATTATGTAACACCGATCAGAAGTGGAATGTTTTTCAAAAGAAGATTGAATTGAAGAGAACAGAAAGGGATTGGAAGTATTATGAAGAATGTAAATGACAACTGATGGAAGATGCACAAATGAAGTATTTAGTGTATGATTTTCACAATTTACAAAGACACTGTAATTTTGAAATGAATATAAATTGATCGTTCCCACCTTGAGTTTGTTCACTGTATTTGGTTTCGCTACCAAACGTGAGGCTGAGAGGGTTCAGTCCTACGGACGCCGTTGCGGGGCTAGAAGAGGATTCACTAGTTGGTGCAGTCTGTCGCAGGAAGGTGACATCGAGTTGAGTGTTCTGACGGGTGGCGTTGACTGTAAGAGTCGCTGTCAACAGAGAGAAGGAGTGGCACGTACGGTATCGTATGTAGATGACTCGGCGTGTACAACAGTAATTCATTTGTTGTAAAACTAAACAGTAAATGTGAGCATTAGTATGCAGTCCGTATTGCCAGAAAAATCTGATCTGGCTACAGATAGTATCTAAAACACTTATTTGTCATTGAGCGTACTTTGATGTGATTCAGGCCATATAGTCGTCTGGCAAGTCTATTTGTGTAGCGTTCTCCTACTCTAACCTTAATTTCTAACCGATTTTTTGATTACTATAATGAATAATTCAAGATTAAAAGGTCTATTAATCATATCAACACTAGAATTAAATAGTGTGTTTCTGAATAACTGGTAAGTCGTTAAAATGCCCTCGTATAGTTCTAATAAATTGGTCTTGATTTATTTTTTTCTTACCTCTATTACATCCTACTTACAAGTAGTCAAAATGTATACATTTGAAATATTTCACTTTGATTCTATTTACCGTATGTTATTATAGATGGGAAGCTTCAAAAGAAAGAATCAAATGATGGAAATCTTGCAGACACCATTGAAGAAAATGAATTAGATGTTAGACATGGAATGAAAGATGATCCTTCAAGTGAAATTACTGTTAATCCCGTATTGGATGACATAAAACCAACATGTTCATTAACAACATCATCTACAACAAATTATCGGAGAAAACATAAGAAACATTCATTAGATCGATTGAAGAAACAATCTCATTCTGATAATTACGACTCATCAACTAGCTTTTCATCATCTTCTTCATTATGTTCGCTTAATTTACACATGGATGAACATTATTCTACTTCATCGTCAGCTTCATCATCACCAAGATCATCTCAGTTAGAAGATGAAGAAGTAGACGAGGAAGAGGATTCAGACTCTATTGGATCTGATTATGAATCTAACAGTTCACCCAGTTGTAGTAGTATTGCTAGTTCCATTAGTTGTAAATCGCTTTTAATACATCATGAATTGAATGAAATTAACTCAGAATGTCCTAGTAATCGTCATATGAAAAGAAAAAGACGAAAAAATTCACATCTACATATTAAAGGCAAAAAACATATATGCAATGATATAGATTATATGTGTAAGCCACCGCCTAAATTGGATGATAATAGAGACTATGATTGTAACGAAGATAATCAATGTTTCTCTATTCAACGTGAGTGAATATGTTTTGATTGTACGTTATACTAGTACGTTATTTGTATTTTTTTTAAAAACAACCTTTTTTCGCATTATCTACCATCTGTCTTTCAAAGGATAAGCATTTTGCTCAATAGTCTGTATTACTTAACAGACCTATGAAAGTATAAAACATGTGTGATTGTGAAATATTTATAGTCGTTCTATCCGAGACATTGTTTACATTTTTGGGACGATTACCAAATGAGTGTTGTTGAATTCAAACTTAATGAAATAGTAAGGTTTTATACCTTCATCATTTGAGACAATCTGATTTTGTGTTGGGTGTACATAACTATTCCCTACTGAGGTGCTTACTGCTAGCTGTAGTAGAAATAAGCCTACAAAATAACAGTAGGCAACCTGGCACTAGCCCATAAAATCAATAACTATTGTCTTCGAATCTGTCTGTATAAATCCTCAAATTTCTACTTGTAGGACATAACAGATAATGGGATCAACAGGATTAGACATTATACTGAGCATCCAATTAGTGGACTGAAATAGAATACCATAATTAATCATGTAGGACTCTCTTAAGATTTAATGTTGTAACCGAATATTTCTGTCTTCGATTATTCGCCAACCACTACCTACATTCATTATATATACACCATCTTTATATTAAATCGCGATAGAATTTCAGTCCTCTGGTTTAGAAAACGAATACTATGCTAAACGTTTAAGAAAAATTCGTTTTAATACAATATTCAAAACGGATGATATACGATTCGATAATTGTTACTTCTGTTCATAACCTTATATCTGATTAAACTACAGAATATCGAACGATGAAAACTTGACCCTTTACTGTGTATTATTGACTTTTCAATGAAATAACACTCTTTACAATATGCACATTTCTAAACAGTCTAAAATTACAATGAAAAAGTTATGAAGTGATTCGTTCAACATCAAAATATAAATTTTATTGATATTACAAACTGATCTATGTTGGACGAATATTGAAGACCTAAAGCACTGAAAGTTTATTTCGTCTCAGTCTAGGACTCTTTAACAATGTTCGTTCACGATCCCGTAACCGATAATTAAACCCTGAACTGGTTACGTCAGCTTCTGTAAAGTCACATACTAGAAAAAATCGATCATTCAGTTCTTCCAGGTTTTCAATGATTTTCTAACTTGAGTCTGTTCACGATATCAATAAAATTGAAGTCTCCACAACCGTAAACTAAGGGCAGAGACTGTTCATTAAAGTTGTTCCATCTATCTATTAGTCAGCCAGTTGTAATCAACAAATAACCTGCCACAGTTAGTCGTGCACTATTTCAAGTTGTCATACCATATTAGCACAATGAGTTAAATTAACAGGTTGAACGGCTAAATAGATTGAAATAATTGTAGTAGCAATGAGACTGAGTAAGATACGTTTTGAATTGCTTTGATAGTCAATCGTTACGTTGTTTAACTTTCAGCCAGTAATTGGTGGGTACAAATGCCCTGGTACGACCGAGAGTTGGGAGAGTCCGCTCTCCCTCGCGAAATGCTCTCACATGGCCACGCATATATAGCCTCTGCCAGGGAAGTCCTACTCACTGCCTTCTCGCACTACGGGTGTTGTTTACGAAATTGAGAGAACGAAAAGCGAATGTCTGACACTTTAACCGGGTTGGTGGACATGGAGAGTTGGGAAACCCTCATTCCAAACCAATGGTGCACATTGACTTCAGTATGCTGAAGGAACAAATGGCGTATGAACCAATCGTTGGTCATCGGCTACTATGGGACTGCATCTCCTTACGATGCTCCACTGCCTTGTGGATCAGACCTTCAAGTAGAAGGCTCCGGGTGTGGCCTCCTATGGAAACCACTTGCTTCGGTTTGGGCACCCGGTTAGTACCACAGCCCACACACACTAATCAAGTGACTTGTGTTGCGCATATGTATTTGGTGCCTCCTTGTACCAATATCTATGTTTTAAAAATAAATAAATAAAATAGTTATTCGATTGAATTAAACGGTTAGTATCACTAACCATCATGTATTTAATATGTAACTTAAGTACACTACGATGCATATTTTGTAAATAAACCCTTTTTTAGAATCATTGTTTTTTTCTTCATTTTATTCCTTACTCTATGTTTAGCTAAGGTTGATACAAATGATTCTCATTGTTCTGATACTACTAAGACTGCTTTACAATCATCAGAGATTCTTTCAAGTTCCAATCTTATTGATTCACGTGATACAAAGGGACATATTTCCAACGTATTGTATTCTAACACTACTAACAATAGTAGCAGTTGTAGTACTAATAAACTTGATGAACTAAAGAAAGACTTTACAATGAAATTATCAACTCCCATTGATATTAATAATAATGGTGATCGACAATCGCCTGGAGAAATTGATGATCAACAACGGAATAATGATGCTGATGATGACGATAATAGTATGCGTGAATTAGAAATTGATAAGTTAATCACTGCAACTAACGAATCAAATCCACTATCCTGTTTCATGTAAGTAGTATTTATGTAAATAATTGTTTTATTGTGTTGTTATCAGTGAATATGTGAGTGTGTATGTGGGTGTTTGTATCTGTATCTGATAGTCAAATTTTATAGGTGTTTGTACAGTTATAAATGTAATGTAGAAGAGTCCTCACTCCCTATTCAAATTCTCTCACATGGCCACGCGTATATTGCCAATTCCAGGAAAGTCCTATCCATTGACTTCTCGCAAGAGTGTGTTGTTTAAGAAATTGAGAGGACAATAAGCAAATATCCGACGCTTTAACCGGTTTCGTGGATATGGAAGATCTACTTCCTAAGGAAACTACCTGCATCGGCTTGGGCACCCGGACAGTATTCAAACCCCCAACACAAATTGAATGACTTGTGTGGCGCATGTTTATTTGGTGCCTCCTTATACCAATGTATATGTTTAAATAATAAAATCCAACATCAGTAATAAAAAAGCAATTATTTGTTTCATTGTTGTTTAAGTTACACGTATTGATAAATAAATTTACAATCCTATTTATTATTCATGTATTTCTCATTATCTCCTGCCCCCCCCCAAAAAAAAATAATAAAAATCTAGAGATGCACATCGTTCCACCTGGTCACATCTTGTACGTATCTGGGATAGACAAATACAATATTCACATACAACAACTACTCCTGGAACAGATTATCAATCAACAAAGATTGAGACAAATGTTGGTTCATGTGCTCGTACGGATTTAGTATATTGTGGCAGAGGATTAGATGATATTTCACTGAATAATCGAGAATTTTGGAATATGCAAAAGTGTAATTTATTCACAAAATATGCTGATACAGCTATTGGACCTGGTGTTAATCTTTATCTTTCATCATCTCTACCAGGTACTTTGGATAATCCAATAAATGTAATCAGTAGTGAATCAATAACTAAGTCGGAAATATTAAATTTAACTTCACCTAATGTAAGTTGACCTGTTATCTCAATATATTTTGTATGATTAAGTAATACTGATCGATATATTTTGTATGATTAAGTAATACTGATCGAAGAATTGAATTTATGAATATATCAGGTAAAGATGTTGTTGTAACTTGTAGCCTTGTGTCCTATTAATCATATAACGTAATAATAGCGCCGATTAAACAACAGTGACTTATCGACCGGACCAATGACGCATAAACACGTACGAGCAGTTTAAAGTCCTTATCGATCCTTCTTTCTGCCTAGCCTTGCCTGTTGAATCTAGAACTTTAATTTCAAGCATATTCCAAACATACTAGGTTTATATTATTATTATTATTATTATTATTGTTATTATTATTATTATTACCATTATTATTATTATTATTATTATTATTATTAGTAGTAGTAGTAGTAGTAGTAGTAGTAGTAGTAGTAGTAGTAGTAGTAGTAGTAGTAGTAGTCGTAGTAGTAGTAGTAGCTTTATTCAATATTATATTTTTGGTACAATATAGAATTCTCAGCGCAAAGTATTTCAAACAAGTTTCTGTTTCTTTCTTCTTGATCGGTCCTGGCGATAAATATTGAGTGACCGCCAGTTAAATGTTAGCAGTTCACTGAATGAATATCTGAATAATGTGCATTCTTTTCGTTGTATATTGCCAGCAACCACATTGTCTCTTATTAAGTTTTTTGTAACTTTGATAACGAAAGGTTGTACACTTTTCAGAAACGCAGCAGAATAGGTTATGCGATTAATAGACATAATGATATATTAAAACAAACAAAAATAGATAACTTGTTGAAATATCTAGATGGCAGGAACAGGTAGCCCAGATGCTCAAGCAGGCCGCTTTTTTTACAAACCAAACAGATCACATCGTAATAACATTTATACACGGTCAAGCCAAAAGTGGCTGTGAATTTGGTAGACTGTAATTAATAGACTGAACATAACTCAAAAACAGCAAATCGTATAATAATAATAATAGTCTATGGGTCAAAATAAAGCTTATAATAAGAGGTATATGAATATATATAATTTAGTTACTTAACAATTATACAATAAAAATATATGTATAGTATTAGTATTAGAACGCAACAGAACGGCAATTATCATACATTAATACGAGAGAGACAGTTTAAGAGAATGAAACTTTTCGAGATAACTTTATATTCCGAATAGAAGTCAAAAATCAAAATGAAAGAACATTGTTTAAATAGTAATACCCAATGATCTTAGGACACAACCAATTCACTGAACTAAAGGATGGCAACAGCCAATCAGATTACACTTAAAGTCGTCATAGAAATATGAATTTAAGAAATACCACCGAAGTTATCCTCTTGAATGAAGAATTAACATGTAATAACAAAACAAATTAAATATCCTGTTCTCTTCTTAATAGTTTCGTAGTTGATTTGTTTTTCTAATTTTAATCAACCTTGAATAATTCTATATACATCCACTAAATGCCTTAATGTTCTATTCAATTAAGGTTTAGATTTTTTTGATTGAAATCATGAGTCATTTGAAGCTAGACCATCATGGAAAACCTGGAAGCACTGGACGGTCGTTTCGTCCTAGTGTGGGACTCCTCAGCATTGTGCATCCACGAAACGGCCGTCCAGTGCTTCCAGGTTTTCCATAGTGATCTAGCTTCAATTGACTCATGATTTCAATCAAAAACTTAACAATCTCCACAACCCCTAAACTGATAGTTTAGATATTTCTTGATCAACATTATTTATGTTCATATATCAGTTAACTGGTTTATTTAAAGAAAAGTAGCTTTTTTTTCCAGGCAATAACTATTAAGTATAATAGTCAGTTTCCAGTTGACTTCATCGTCGTCACAATGATGAATCAATACAAAATTAATTGGATGTTTAGATTTATCCTATTGATATTTTTGATTTAGTTTTAGTTGACATATGTGCAGATCGCCTCTATATAGCAATTATGAATAGATGGAAATATGGCTAGCGCATGTTTCGTCCTATTTGGGAGCTGCACCAACTTTGGAACACAAGTTCATTCATCTGATAAGTCCAGAATAGGATGAAACATGCGCTATAGAATCTACTACCAACCACTTTTCATTTACTTTCATTGGTTGTATTAGTTTAAAACTTTCCGATTTAATTGGTAAATATTATTGTTTGTGGTTATAATTTATGCCTTCCCCAGCTCGTATCATTGTGAACATCTGGATCGATATAGTTTAATTATGCCTACAATCAGAAAAGAATATCTTCATTTTTCATGTAAAGATTTAATTAGTTTTATATCATGGTAAACATTTGAAAATCTACTCATTCACTAAGTCCTTGGGTATAAGTCACTCTCTTAGTGTGATCACTAATGATACTCTACGATTGCCTGAAACCAAAGTAGGCAGATTTAAGTTGAAACCTTGTAATTGAGTGGCTGATATCATTCGTAGTAAGAAAAGGTATTACCTACACTACTAGGTTGTCGTCCTATTTATATCAAGAACTTCACTGAGGGACTTGACTACATGACAATTTGATACTATATGACATATGTATGGCACTCTAAACTATTTTTCTATGAATATTTGTATGATTTTTAGTTTGATTATTCATATAAACTTTCTTTGATTATTCTTCATTCATTGATGTTTTTAGGTGAACTATACAAATATGTCGTGTAATCCATCTCCAGGTATTCATGATTCATCATCGACTGCACTTGATTTATGCTCACGTAATAGTTCCAAACGATCATTTATTCCATCATCAACAACAGAACAACCATGTACAAAATCTCGTCGATCATTTCAATGTGATACTATCAATAATCCTTATATGCATTCGATCTCGTTAAATGTTCCAAACACCAATACATCTTGTTCTACCATGTTAAATAGTAGTAGTAATACTATATCCAATTCACAAATACTACCAACAGGAGCTGAATTGAGACCGACTGTCAACACTACTACTAATAATAATAATATGTCAAGCCAACAACAACGACAACTCCAAACTATGTATGAACAAGCGTTAATATTTGCTGCAGCTGCGGCAGGTCATTATCAACATAGTCCTCCTGTTCCTCCTGGTCCCGTACGCGACACATGTAAATTTTTCCCAACTAATTTTGAATTGAATAATCAAATGAAACAGTCACCCGTTGTATCTTCTCCAAATCTACGTTTTATAAGCTCAAATAGTAGTAATAGTAATAACAATAATAATCCTTTAATGTCAACTAGATTGGGTGCTGCAACTGGAACATTCTATCCACCAATTTCTTCTCTGTCAACTTCAACTGGTATCTCGTCCTCATTATCGTCTGGCAATAATAATAATAATACTTTTGGAACAAATAAACCATCAATTAGTGGTGCTCCATTTAACTTCAACCTAACTGATTCTCAATACCATTCATTAAATCTTCCACCGCCACAGATGGCTATGTCCGCTAGTGGTGTCGGTTCTACGTCTATTCTTCACGGATCGAATTTCAACCCTACTACTTGTAGTAGTATTAGTAGTAGTTACAATGGATGTAAGTATCTTATCAGTGTTTGACATTTTCTGTGTTCCTTACACTTTTTTAAACATTTGTATCACATTTAATTAAAGGCTTAACAATTTTATCAACTGACTCATCATCTTCGGAGCTGTTTAATCCGGTATGCTCAACTTCAATAGGGTTGTCAAGTCGATTGTTCCACAATATGCGAGCAATGCTTCAAAGGCAACTATGATACAAGTAAACCACAGCCTACACATGTCTTCTTTACAAACCAATGAATCTTATCAATAGAGTAATGCTGACTAGACTGCTCCACAGTATACTCGTCCTTCGATTGTTAGACTGGCTTTGCGTCTACGTCACAAGTGATAAAAATTGCGCGAGGTCAACCATGCTTTTTGAGTTCGTCCCGAAATTTCTTCGGACACGATTCCAGTAGGGTTACTGAGGTTTCCAAATTAAGCGAAATAGTCGATGCGCTCAACTACTTCAATTTCCATCACTAGTTTGTACGCTGACGCAGACTATCCCTGATGTAGCATTTTACATTTAAGGGGAGAGAAACTCATCCCAAACTTTTTGCATTGTCGCGATCAAAATACTTTGGATTTTGTCAGCGTCTTGAATAAGTAGGACCCTGCTATCTACGTATCCTCAATCGACTGGTTGATCTTCTGGTAAGAGATGAACAATACATCGACAAATTACAGCTTAAGATTATCATTAAAATCATGAGCCGATCCAATTTAAAACACCGTTAAAAACCTGGAAGCACTGGAAAGCCACCTCATCCTATTATGGAACTCTTCAACAGTGAATCTGTGATTTAACACTCCGAACCCGAACCCGGGACCCTCAATCTCGCACTCGAACACTTAACTTCTAGAACACTGGCCCGGCATACAGCGGTTTTAATTTCTAATCTCAATTAATCTACGACGGTGAGTGACCATCTTCTATAGTCTTCAGTTGGAGACTGCCCCACACTCGGCACGATTTGGCTCTAACTACCACAGCTTCTAACTAGGACTCCGGAAATTTTCTCTCGAAGCTAGTCAGTAATGAGAATACTAGGACGAAACGGCTATCCAGGTTTTCAATGGTGGTCTAACATTGATGGTTTCATGATTTCATTGAAACTTAACAATTTCCACACCCCCCCCACTGTAGGTTCAAGACGAGTTGTAAGTAAATGCTAGTAATGAACTAATGTACTTGACAGGAGACCCTACTTGATGTAGGTTTTGTTCCAGTTGACAAGTCACTAAAGCTTACCCGTAATTGATACTCCTTTTAGAGGATGTGATGATGCGTCACATATCTTCACAGTTTAAAATGTAACGATGACATTATTTGATCTACGATTGACCTCATTTATAGACGGAGATGGTTACAATTAATTGATCACTCAACTAGTGACTAATGTTGTGTTTGTCTACTTTTTTTGGTGTTGATTAATTTTTTAGATCAAGTTGTAACGTGGCTACTAAACATTGTACAAACTACTTAATTCTATATAACTTCATCAAATATGTAGCTTACGTTTATTGACTTATAACTGTTCAAAATCACTGATTGTCTAGGTAATCTTATATCCTTTAATATTACAATCTCATGCCTTCATCTAATTAGAAGAAAAAACTGTTATTATCCTTATATCATTATCATTGTTCAAACAATGTGGTTGCATACTAATGCACATTAACTTATAGAAAGTTTATTCATTCAATAAGCTTGTAAATATTAATTTTCATTTATCATTTATGCTAAATCATTCATTAACTATGATATGAATATAAGTAGTATGTGTGTGGTTTATCCATGAAAATATAAAATTATAAACTGTGTATTTTAATTTTCTTTAAAATTGTTCATTATTCATAATTTATGGAATCGGACACATAAAAGTTTGTAACTAGTTAATCAGCTAATTTTATGTGTAGACTAGTTTTCTCAATCTTTTTGCTTCATCCCTCACTATAGAATAGATAGATTAAAATTGCAATGTACTCTATACATATTAACTGTAACATTTTAGAAAAGAAAGTGTTGATCTATTTGCAACTTTAATTAAATTATTAAGAAGATGAGAATGTACAGTTTCAATGAGTCAGTCAGCAACAATGTAGAACTTCGTACGTATGTATATCAGTTTGAGTTACCATACCACATTAGCACAGAGATACAGTTGTCGATTCAAATCCCATAGTGGTAGAAATAATCAAACTACAAGCAGTAATCGGAAACATTAGGGTTTGAAGATGTTATTCAAGGAGTATAATCTAGTGGAATAAATTTGGAAAGAGAAAAAAATATGAAGAATTCAGAAGATTAGAATTTGGGAGAACACAAAGGGTGGATGCACCTGAGCCATTGCAAACGATTTTGAGCCAATGTCGTTCAACGTCTCTAACCATCGGTTGCTATCCTCTCGTGGATCCCAACCAGGTAGTCTACACCTACCAATATGACTCAGTCCACTTGTCACTGACTTCATGGATTTGTGCCATGTTTTGGTTTGGCCATCCCTAGCTTTCTTCCAACCTACTCCTACACTATAAAACATCGAATGTCGAGGCAGTCGGTGGTTGGCCATACGTAACACGTGATCCGGCCATCTCAACTGATGAAGTTTCACTACTTCATCAATTGATTTGTCATCCTTATCTAGTACCCGTTCACTTATCATTTTTTATACATTTCAAAATTCGTCCAATTTTCGGTTGATGAGGTTGTGAATCTTCATCGATTGAAACGTATTTGTGTACACTTAATCTATCATTTGCCTTGAGGTCCGATGCTTGTTGGAGCAGAAGTCAGATGTAAAATAGCTAGGGACTGCTAAACTAAGACATGGCATCAGCTCATGAATTCATTGACTGTTAATCTGAGTCATGTTGATAAATGCAGACTACCTAATTAGAGTCTGTGTGATAACGACGATACATGATTAAACACTTTATGCGACATGGCACAGATACATTATTTATCTTCCTATCGATCTTCAGTTCCATTATCCTTTCATACATACCTCTATAATTCATCTTTTCGTTCTATATTTCGAATGTTCAGTCGTTCTCATTATCGTTGCTGCTACATTACTTCAATATCTTTTTTTAAATTGATCATGTTATTTTCTTCCCGTTGTGCTAATTCATTATGACAACTTGGGTCAACTCACATTTGTACCAGGCCCTTTGTTGATAATGAATATCATCATTATTGCTGAGCAATTCGGATGTAATATAATTGTTAAGAATATATATTACAGTATATGATATACATTTCTTTCTTTCAGTGGGATCTTCATCTTCTAACTCATCAGTGCCAGGAAATCAACTTTATAATCATCCAGAGTTTTTACAACGGCAATTAGCTTTGATGGGATTACTTCCACGTAAGCGAATTTCGTATATATGTACTTCTAATGTACCCATATGTGTATGTTTCCCTTTCGATTACCAATGAGTCTAATTTACAAGTTTACTTCTAAGTTATATGTGTGTGTAACTCATCAAATTTTCACTTGATAAGATCTCCGAATGGAAGAATGAGTGAGTGATGGATGTAAGAGCATGATTTTCACTGAGAATCATATTCGATACTCTAACATTCACTTTATTTGTTTTATTGATCCATCAATTTGGAATGTGCTACGGTAGTGTGTTCATAGATGATAGATGTTTAGATAACTTTAAATGATTGGAAAAATAATCACCTGTTAAACGAATAGCGAAATGTTAATTGTGTTACTTTTATTGAATACTGAAATAAAGATAGTGTAGTAAGCCCATTCAACTATTGTATTATTTATCTGCTCACTGTAATTCAGACACTTGACCCACTATGTAATTTTCTGTGTGAGTCTGATTGAGCACATTTCTGCACATCAATCTTTAATCTATTTCTCCTGTAGGTTGTAATACACAGACAATCAATAATTTATCCATACTTGATTAACACTCATAAATATATATGGATTTTAACACTCACACACACACACTTGTTTTCCCTGTGTGCTTGCTTCCTGTACGCTTGCGGATTTTACCACTCTTTAACAATAACCTATCTCTATAAATAAATCTCGAGTCAATCCATAATTCTACTAGGAGATTTAGCCTGCATTAAATACTCAGTTAATGGGACACTATTGATTGGAGTCAGATATAGAGGATACTAGCCTCTACAATAGTTAACCTCGTAAATCCCAATGAATTTGATATTTTCACTAGGAATTCTAACTGAATGAACAATGCCTATTAAATGTTATTATTTGTTTATTTATTTAAACATATAAACATAGTTACAAGGAGGCACCAAATATATATGCGCCACAATTCGTCATTCGATTTGTACAAGGGCTGGAATACTGCTCAAGCGCTCAAATCGAAACAGGCCATTGGAAAATAATAAATTTCGAGTTTTCTTCTGTGATTAAGAGATGAGGTGGGAGAGATAGTGTTATAACTTGGGACCTGTGTGCCCTGTTGATGTATAACGTAACGACACCGCCAATTAGAGAGCAGTGAATCATCGATCGGACTAATGACGCGTAAACCCGTACCAGCAGTCTAGAATACTTATCGATCCTGCTTCCTGCCTAGCCCAGCCTGTTAAGTCCAGAACACCAATCATAGCCTCTGCAATACGAATCATGTATTTCAGGCATATTGGGTTTATATACAAACTAAACAGACCACATCACACCATAAAATAGGAAACAACATTCGTACAAGATTTAACCAAAAGTGGATGTGAATGTGGAAGGTAGTAATTGATAGACAGGACATAATTCAAGAATGTTAGGTCGTATATTACTAGTTCATAGGTCAAAATAAAGCTCATAATACGAGGGACACGAATATGAATAGTTTAGTAATTTAATAATCATTATATAAATGTATGTGTATAGTATTGGTCCGTAAATGGATCCCAAAAGTTACCATTCATTATTCTTATCGGGATATGACAGATAGTTTATAGTTTGTTTCTTTAATATAAATACCCGAAAAACAATGTATAACTCATCTTCCAGCTCTACTCTAGTTCATTTGAGAAATTAGAGAGAAAAATCACAATCAAGTCTTTGGTTATGGAGAAGTTTATGAAATCATTATATAAGATCGTATTATCCATAACTTTGAGGATCCTAACTAACTAGTAATCTACAACTACCAATACGATCCAATTGAATTCGATAGGGTTTAGTGGAATGATACTGTGTTTTGATTTGATTATTCCTAGATTTTCTTCCAACTTGTCCATCATTATTCGTCGAAGTAGGTGATAGTTGGGCGCATATCATCATGCATACAATTAGTGTATCACCAGTTGTATTCTCACTTTTTTTCTTCTTGTTATCATTATCCTCTATTGTAATTTATGAATTATTTATTGATTAATATGTAGCTGGTTCAATACCTCCTGAACATATGATGCCTATTACATCAGTAGAACAACGTGAAATTGAAGCATTTCAACGATTAATGACTGAAAGACTTGAATATTTAAGAAATACTACAAATAATAATAATAATAATCCACAACAACAGCGTACTATAACTCCAGTTGAACAAATTTATCAACATCATCAACAACAACAAGAACTTTTTGCTACTGCATTTTCAGCTGAAATGGCTTCAAGACTTGAAAGTATGTCTTCTATTTATTCAAATCAAGATTGTCTATTCCCTTTATCATTTAATTTATCACATTGTGAAACTAATAATGGTGCAATGACATCTGCAGTGAATAGTATATCTACTCGACCTACAGCTTCTGTTCAATTACCACAAAATACACGTTTTCCACAATCAATTCAATGTAATACTCCATTGTTAACTAATCGTTTTCCTACAAATCATTCAGATATTCATAATATCAATAAAACACCACCAATGGCACATCATAATTCTTCATATTCTACATCTCGTGATAGTTCTACAAATTTAAATGTTAATATTTCACCTATGTCATTAAATGTGGTACCTACACGTGCTCAACCAAATATACCTTTTAATACACCTATTTCTCATGGGACTAATCGACCAACAGCACGTAATTCAAATACTCAGTCATTGTCATCATCAGTATCTTCTTCCAATTTACAGGAACAAGTATTGAATGCTGCTAAACTGGCTATGATGGCTGGTAAGTCCTTCTTTTTATGATGTTAAATCTCTGTAAAATTCTATGTCTCACTTGATTGTTTTGACAAATGATCAAAAATTTTTAATTAAAATCATTTAAAGTTGATCTTAGTAATCCTGTTGAACTCTCCATGTCCACCAACCCGATTAAAGCACCGGACATCCGATTTTCATCCTCTCAATTTCGTAAACAACACCCGTTGTGCGAGAAGGCAGTGAGTAGGACTTTCCTGGCAGTGGTTGTATGCACGCGGCCATGTGAGAACATTTCGAATAGGAGAACTGACTCTCCCTACTCTCGGCCGTACCAGGGCTTTTGAGGGCACTTAGACTTAGAAATCATGGGGGGAAATGAGTGAAGTTTCAGAATAAATGGTTGGTTTAAATCGGTTTCACGAGAATGTGTGTTACGAAACTATTAAGGTGATATATGTTATCATAAAAGATTGTTCATCTTTGAAATAAATTTCTTAGTCCAATGGGAATTACGATTATACAAGAGGCCGGAATTTATTTTATCTAGTTTATAATGATTAGAATTATCCCATTGTTGGTATTTTGTATAAATTTTAATCAGTCTTAGTTGGAGTATTTATTTAATTCAGGATTCGAACCCAGTAGCTAAGTAGATAATGCGTTGGTGTTTGACGTGAATGATGCTAAGTTCGAGCCTCGAAATGGTCATTAACTCTAGGATGGAGGTACATCCAGATAACGAGTCCTAAATGGAACGAATCGACTTACGTCCTGGATTTCTCTGCTAGCCACATTTCATCTATTTTATATCGAACTCAATTTATTTTTTTATCATATTAGTTAGATATTAACTTTAAAGAAAAAAACTTATTTTGATCATAAATTTATAGCTAATATGCAGTCTGATCCGAACAAAGCATTAACATTTGCAAGTTTAGCTGCGGCAGCTTTCACAGAAATGGCATCATCATCATCATCACAAGATAAAAAGTTACCGTCACGTAGTAATGATCATTCATCATCATCTCATCATCCATTGTCTGGAATTCAAGAGAATTTATCACAAAGAAATATGAATATTCCAACATCCAACATGAGATTACGTTCTCCAGTCGGGAGTAGTAGTGGACATTACAATTCAGATTGTAATAACAGTATTCCTACTCCTGGTGTTGTACTCTCCAATTTTATGCATCAAAATACACATAAAGAAAGACGTCGCCAGAATAGTCATTTAGCTTCAAACAATATTGCATCTCATTCACCTGGTGTAGTATCTCAATCATCAAATCGTTTACAGTCTCCTCCTGTACATTATTCACATTCAGAATCCCGATCATTTAATAACGATAGTAATAATAATAACAATAATAATCGTACACCAACTCCAGCAGCTAGTCGTATACATCAATCTCTGTCTGGTAATAATGACTCTTCATTTGTCGTTGGTCCCACAGTACCTGGAGGTGTTGGTGGGATACCTCCGGCACAATTAGCGCAATTAGCTCATCTTGCTCAAATGTCTGGTCTTCCGCCTGGTTTTTCATTTCAGGTAAATAAGTTTCTAGTTTGTTATTAGTTCATTTTTATTTTTCCTATTTTTTGTAATATTTACATTAATGCATGAATGAATCAGTGCTTCAAATGACTACACTTAATCACGTCAGTCAGGGTCATAACTAATTTAGAGGCTGGTACAAATATGCGTTAGCCGAATTTCTCCTATCGCTGACAGTACGACTAGATCAAACTACCTAGACAACTATTAAAGGTGTCGGTGTAGACGTAGCAGGAATAATAATAAAGAAGATTGGATATTTAGAATATGGTAGACAGAAAAGGTATATATAAAAGAAGATTGAATAAGACAAATAGTTAATGTACCTGAACTATTGTGACTGGTTCAGATTTATTGTATTTAAAGTCAACACTCACTAATCTCGTGGATCTGAACCAGATGATGAAAATTTGTCTACTACTGTTTCGGGCAGAACAAGCCCGACAGTCATTACTTATATATATATATATATATATATATATATATGCCAACATGGCTCAGTCCACTTGTCAGTGACTTCCTGGATTTGTGCCATGTTTTGATCTGACCGCCCCTAGCTTTCTTCCAACTTGCTCGTACACCATAAAACATCACATGTCGGGGCTGTCGATGGTTGGACATACGTAACACATGTCCTAGCCATCCCAACTGATGAAGTTTCACTACTTCACTAATTGATTTACCATCCTTACCTAGTACCCGGTTTCTAACAACTGCATTATTTACTTGTTGGTCCCAGGATATACTTCGAAGACACCTATTATCGAATAGTAGTAACCTACGAATATCCTCTACTCTTACAGGCCATGTTTCACTGCCATAAAGTAGGATGGATATCTCACCTACGTCATAAACTACCCAAGTCATGTGTGAACGCTGCTGTAGAGTCCAATACTATTCACCGCTTTATACATGGGACCCTGGTTTATAGGTTAAAAAGTTCAACTTTCAAACACAAAGTCCCCGGTTTTATTTCGCCTGCTTTAGTTGAAATGAAATGTGTATCGAAGCCAGACATTCAAATTTACGCCTGACAAATGAGTCAGGATAAAAGCCTTTGAGTCTATTGGATTTCCTTGGATTTTTCAGTCAGTTTTACAGAAGATATCAACATCTACTATTTTGTAATTGTGTGTCGATCGTATGTCTTCTCATCGATTCAAAGATATATTTGTAAGAAGGGGGTACTGTGGTCTCATGGTTTTCGGAGACTCACAACTTTCGCTGTGGAGCGTCACAACTTTATATAATGACCCTTCAATTCCCTAAAGCCCGGCGTAATTTAGTTTCCGTTTTTGTTTAGTTAGCGATTTTATCATGGAATACTCTTTCCATGAGGTGGAGTTGAAAATCATATGCCCGAATCGACTTTCTCTGGGTTTGGGACTGACAGCAGCTCGATATGTGGTTAGGATATACATATATGGTTAGTTTTCAGTAAAGTTATCACTTCCTTTCTTATTTAACGAAACCGGTATTTTTGTCATCAGAATGAGTATGTTTTATATATTTATAGGATCCAGCAGTGTTGAATGCTTTCGCTTTGGCTGCAGCAGCAACCTCTTTGGTGGCTAGTGGTGCTAATCAATCAGATATGCTTACAGATACAAATATGTCAGCGAATCCAGTCGATCGATATCGGTCACCGGTCCCATCATACACATCTCCACAACCACATCAACAACGTTATCCTCCTACTAATTCACAAACGCAACAACAACAACAGAAAGCGGCAGCTGCCGCAGCGGCAATGGCCAATGCTTTTGGTTTACAAAGTTTACCAGCTCAATTTAATCCACGCCTATCATCACAACCACCATAATTAAGACAGCAATGTAACAATATAAGTGTTGTTATTTTAAAGAAAGAAAAAAAGATTAAAAATAACTAACTGACTGCGAAGTACACACTATTTGATGATCAGGTTATAAAAATTTCCATATTACATTTCTACTATGTATTACTTGTAAATACAGTTTGATTTTCCCTTTGCCTCTTCTTCTTCTTCTTCTATTTGTATTCATCTTTTTTGTTTAATTATAAAAATTTCTAATGAGTGCATTATATTTGTATGTATGTGTGTGTGTGTGCGTAGTGCACTGAATGAAACCAATGTACCTACACTTTATATTCTTTTGTGTCAATGGATCGAATGATAAATCCGACATATACACATACATATAAACGGCACAATTTATAAATATATCTGCTCACATATTCATCATAATTTTTAATAAATAATAAAAACTGATTGTTTCTGTTTTTTTGGTTTCTATTGTATGTTTTGATAAACGACAACTATGTTATCATTATTATGATTTATACTGAAAATTGAACACCATTCTATATTGGTCTTCTTCTTTCTTTCTTTCCTCTTATTTGATATTATACTGAATAGTACAACTTATCCATTCATTCATTCATTGTATGTAATCATTCTTGTTTGTCTTCTGTATTTGTGTTTTATTCTTATCATTGGAAGATTACTCTGTGAAGTATGTTTGCCGTCCTTTTCTTGACCCTTTTTTTCCGCATATACTATATACATTGATATTCTCATACGATGTGAACTACTTACTTAATAATAATGATAATATAAACAATATGTAGTGTTCGTTCAGTCTTATTAATGTTAAATACTGGATAGTGAATAGAAAAGGTAAATCAGATGCATTAGTTCAAAGACAAATGAGAAATATGAGATGTTGACGTACGTTTGTTATTAGTCAAGATTTAACTTTACTATCTGAGGGAAACAAATACATATTAATTGGTGAGTTTGTGCATACATTTCTATCCAGGTTAGTCAATTGCAGCTGCCTACTTTTGATTTTTGCATTCAAGTAGCTGCTTTGACAATAAGCGTATATATGTCAGTTTCAGAATCGGACGACCACACAACATGAAATATAGTCTAAGATGATAGTGTATTTGCATAGATTCCTAGTTATTTTCTATAAGAAAGAAACAGTCAGAAATACCAAATAGTTTCAAGTTAACATTTTTCAGGGGTTAATTTGATGCCACAAGAATAATGTACATTTATTTATTTTGATTGTCTTGACATTACATTTTCCTAACAACGAAAGGTGTTCACTAACTCTTTAGTTGCAGAATCACCATAGATCGGGTCGAATACAATAGACAGAGGTTCTCTTCATTACTCTATTCAGTCTATCACGTAGTACATCACCAGCTTCATCTACATTGAATTGCAGCTTCAAGAAGAGAGATTTCTTACTAGCCATTGATGTTTCTTCAGGAAACCCTGTGAATAACCCATTTCAATCAACATATTATGTAGGAGCTCTAATTCCTTATTAATTGTATCGACTGAGCATATCTTAATAGTTCTCCTTGCCAGACATTTAACTAAGTTTCTCTTATAATTGAAATTTAGTCGGATCATTCAAAATCGAGTTCATTTTATCAATGTAATTGGCTTTGATCATTAAAACCACTCCTCCTCCTTTGTCCGGCTTTTTTATGATTAAAGTGTTGTCTTTCCCAAGCATATCGCTGCTATTTGTTAAGTAGAGTTTTCACAGTACACTTACTATTTTTGTATTGTTGGCAGATGTCCACCAACGTGGTCTTAAACCTAGTGAGTTCATCGAGTGAAGTAGGCACAAAATCTGTTGTTTGTGTAAATATTTTTAAATTGCACATCTGTATCTAGTTGATTTATTTTATTTCCATCAACCTCTCTCCTTAAAGCTGCAATTCAATGGAGATGTAGCTGGTGATGAATTACGTGGTAGACTGAATAGAGCAATGAAGAGAACGTTTAATGCAGCCAACCTGTCCATTGTATTCGAGCCGATCTATGGTGATTCCCCAACTAAAGGATAGGTTATCTAGTTGTGCCACTTCTCTTTGTATTTACGAATTCAGCTGCTTCCGTGGAGAAAGCTACATTGGGTGCACTACCAGACAAGTGAATCAACGAGTTAGTGGACACCCTCCTTCGTGATTAGGAAAAAGTAATGTCAAGACAATACGCAGCTCAGTCCTATCACACTTGATCGATAGAGATCATGTAATGGACAGAAACAAGTCATTTAAAGTTATTTTGATTGTGTCTAGTACTGGGACGCATTTATGTCTGCCAAATTGATGTAAATACTATCCATTGTCATCTATCTTTCGTTAAACAGGAAATAATTATTCCAGCTTATGATTTCTGGCTACGAATATTTTCAAAACTGGTTTGAATCCCTTAGAGTGGCCGCTTGAATACTAGTTACTTGTTTATCTACATTGTATCCACTGGGATTCAATACGCCAGTTTCATTCCAATTTGAACTTCTCAACCAGCGCTTTCGGTCGAATTAATATGTCAGGTGTCAAAACGGATTGGTTCCCATGTATTGAAGCATTTCTGTATTCCACTTGTATTTTGTACTTTAAGTTCGTTGGTATTCATGCCAGTTACTGTCAGTTGTTTGATTTTAATTACTTGGTCCCTTGCAATACTGAGTTCTTGTACATAGAACACAGCACTAAATAACTCATTATTATCGACACTTGTTCATTTTTTTAAATATTTATACTCTATGCTTTATTATTGATACGGAAGACCAGTGCTATTTATTGTTTAATCGATAAACGTTTCCAGCCTAGTTTTCTAAGATAATGTTTGCAGGAAATGAATTCTACTATGTCGTATGATGAGTGGCTAATTAGCATTAACAGATAAAAACCATTTATTTGAAGTTTTGACGAATGGTTTACCAGTGCTTATACGTTAATGTGCTCAAAATGTTTTTAGAAATGGATCCCTGTGGACCAATAAGTGATTGGTTATCTGTAGTTCAATGAATGACACGTTGGGTGCTGGGTTCGACCCCCGATATTGATACAGGTAATAAATAGGATGAAACGCGTGTCCTGAACTTCACATCTTTATCTATTCTGTAAGTTTTTTTAAGAAGTAGTTATATTAGGGCAGTCTGCACAACAAGCACACATACTAACGGAATTCAAAACTCAGTCCTGAATGTTGACAATGGGATAATTCAAACCCTTTCTAATTACGCCATAAATAAGTTGTGAGTTTCTCACTGATATTTACATTTATCGACCTCGATAGTCTAAAATCGTTCATACAAACAAATCATGTGCCTACCAACAGCACATGGGCGAGAATTATTTGACGCGATAAAAAGTTAAATTGGGTAACTTGGTTGGTGCAATTGAACTGATTGGTCTTTAGTACATATTAAGAAATTTATCAAAATCTGTCAGATCAAATGACGGAAATGAACTCCGAAGTACTTACAAAGTGAATAACAAATGCCCCTTGTAGTAGCTTATATTCTTTTACAGAAAAGGTATGCAACTATATTTTTACCTCCAGAACCCTTCCACGGTGTGAGAAACTGGGAAGTGATAACCGCCCTCATATCTCTAACAGCACTCAAGACTGACTGACTTATGTGATAGAATAAGACGCACATGTTTATAATTTAAAAATCGGCGGATACTAAAAAGAACATAATACGACAAAAGGATAAACAAGTTGTACCTACTCTTGAGGAAAACCTCTTATTCATTAAGCGCTAACCATATCAAAAAATCCCTAAAACTGCTTTGACAACCAATGGTGAATTTTACTGAGTTGTAATTTGATGTTGTTGCGCAGTTAATGAACACATACATTTACTCTTTATCACGATCCCCTTAATACTCTTGACTCATTACCCAAAAAACTATGAAAACAGAAGTCGGCTAATTCTGACATGAAACTGTAGAGAATATATTTAATGTAAAAATGCGACAAATATTCCCGGTTATTGTTAAATAATCACCTAAAAAACGAATATCGCTCTAAACAAATGTCGAGATTGACTGAATGCATAAAAGAAATCACCAGAATACAATTGAATGATATACTAAAATAGTAGATGAAATAGAAAACAATCGAATGTTGACTTGAGTGGCCGTCATTACTGATCAGTCAACCGGTAACTTTACGTCTGATCTTTTCTTATCACTTCACATCCATGAAGATTTCCAAATATCACATAATTCGGAAGTTGTAGAGGTGTTACCACTGTTTTTATACTACCAGGCTAAAACACTTGAAATGTTCCAGCGAGTGGCCTACTAGTTCTGCGTTTCAAGCTAAAATTAAACACGTATTCGTTTTCCAACTTTTTCGAGACTTGGAATATGTTTTAGAAGATACCGAATATCTTAATTGATCCTCTTAAACGGTAGTACGTCAACTCTACTACACTATCAAAGTAATTCAATCTTTAGGTAAACAGGAATTAAATATATGTATTTAGTGCAGCTGAATTCGAATAGAAATAGACAACTGAACACGTCTTGCCAAGTTTATTGTATGTAACAAAGGTATACTGACCTATTTTAAATACTGTTGTAGCGGTAAATAAATCCCTAAAATAAATAGCCCTGTAAGTTTTCGACATTGGATGCTGGCCATATGTTTTAGTGGACTCATCTAGCTGAAGGCGCTCGGTCAGGCATCCGCACCAGATCACGTGTGGTAACGCCGTGCTCAACATAAACCGCAATCACTAGCCAGATTAGATCAGAGAATTCCGATATTTTGGTTATCGCCAAATACACTCTTCCGATCTCCTCGACTCTGTCTTTTGATTTCTCTTGGCGGGTACAAATCATATTAGAAGGTGTTACTGGTAAAAGCGTTGTCAAACACTGAATACCTGTGTCATCTTCACTGTTAATAAAAAGTAAGTTTTCTACAACCGCCAGTTACTTTACACCAGTACTTAAATTCTTATAACACGTTAAAATTTAGTTTTCTAGCACGGGTACACAAGTTTATTGAGA